AAGGTAAAACAAAAATCCCACCATTGCAACTAGGTTCAAATATAGCTTATTCCGATAAGGATAAAGCCAAAATGATAGATAAACACCAGGAAGATACGTTTAAACCGCACCCAGTGACAAATAATACATTTAATGCTCTCGCTCCTATCAACGCTCGTTTTCTCTAACACACCATTCGTACAATTATACTCCTCTTTATATACTCGTTTCGTTATTTACCATAAATAAACAAACTGTTGCAGCATTGTCGGCGATCTTTAATGCAGTTATATAAATTCATTTTGCAAACGTAACAAAGATTTCAGATTTGCAGAAAACTATAGATTCATCACTCTCTTATCTCGACTGAACCATCTTCTAGCCTCAACGAACGCTATATCATCCGCTCACTTTGGTTTCACGCTACTACCCATCAACTGCTACGATTAACCGAGGCAATCGTTCAAGGAATTCACACCAAGAAACACACAGTAGCGGTGTTTCTGAACTTGCGCCAGACTTATGATAAGGTCTTGCACACGGGACTCATATACAAAATGTATTCACTAGGAACCCCTGAATACCTACTAAAAATTATTGAACGTTTCATATCTAATAGAACATTTATAATTAAAATCAACAACTCCACTGCAGAATATTATCCAATAGCTGCAGGAGTACCACAAGTCTCCAACATTATTCAATACTGTTTATATGACATACCCATCCACAATGACTCCAACATTACATTATTGTGAATGAAAGCGCATTTTCTATAAACTCTAATATATTAGTAGCGAAAGTTCAGATTCAAAATAATTTTGATGATTACATTAATTGGACAAAGAATTAGAGATTTAAAATTATCCCTGATAAATGTGAGTCAACAATTCTCAACCTATGCAGGCCATGAAATCCAACTGAACTAACAGAATAGGTACGAGAATACCATGGTCCACCTCACCAATTAAATACCTAGACATTTTAGTTGATAAAAGGCTATCATAGAAACCGCACATTAATGCAGAAGCAAATAAGACAAACGCAAAAATTACATTTTTTTTCCATTGTAAACCAGCGCTCTACATTGAAAATCGAATGCTGACTGCTATTATTCAAATCCATCATCGTTCCTACCATAACTTATGGATGCCCAATCTGGGGAGAGGCAGCTCCTAGCAATATCAGCAAACTTCAAGTAATCCAAAACATATTTCTAAGAAATACCCTACTTGCCCCTTGAATCATTACAAAAGAACAAATTTATCGAGAAGTAAAAATACCATAACTAGAAGAAACCATAGCCAAATTAGCTAACAATTTTTACAACAACCTGCATATCTCCCTAAATTCCATTATTTTTAACATTGAAAAAAAAGGTGGGGAAATCTTGACTGCGCGTAGATAGACCAAGATAGATTCAAACCGCCGTAAACCATAACAGCATCGTCTTTAACATCCTACCATCCTCTTTTTATTAAAAAAAAAATAATAATAATAAAATTTAATCATCAATTAAGTCAGAGTACAAATCGCGCATACCTTATGGATGGTCAATCCAAAAATGCTATTTACTAATTTTATGTGTTATTAAACCCTTTGAAAGTCGGTACTGTCAAGCAAGAAGAAATACATTTAAAAAATAATTATGCGTCCTTTGCGCTATCCAAAGTCAAAATTTAATCCATTTTTTTAGAAAAGAATTGTTTAAAAAGTAAAAATTGTCTTAATTTCACGCAAAATTCCGCGAAAAATACCCAAATTTTAGAAAAATTGTGCATGACCTTTTATCAAAATCGTTTTTAAAGAACAGAATTCATTAAGGGAAAAAATTTTTATCTTCAATATTTAGAGTCAGGAAGACGCCGGAAAGAAATTGAAGCTTTGCAATTTTCGAAAAGTCAGGAATTTCAACGAAAATTCGACTTGCACCATTCTCTTAAAACACAAATATTTATTTCTTAATCTAATATTTATACATACATATATACATTTATAAATTTCAGTTGCCGTCTGGCTTAGTGTAGCATCCTTTACGCTATCCAACAACAAAATTTAATAAAACGTTTTTATATGAACTGTTTATATGAACTGTTTTTTATATGAAATTTTTAAAATTTCCCAGGGACTTCATGTAAAGTATCACCCAAAATTAAAATCGGTTTCAAATTTGAGACCGCAACATAAGCCAGATCGATAATTAATATTGGACAATATTAATTATGAACAAAATCGGCCTAGGCGCTAGCTTTGACCACAGACGGACGAACGGACGGAGAGACAGACATTTTGCTGTCAATCGATTTTTCGGGCCCATTATACATGTTAGAGGAAGTAATTTAGTATTTATGGGAACAAGATTGGTCCACTTTTTCGGTACCAGGACCCGACAATAAGATATCCTGCATCAAAAATTCGCTGTTTTCAAGCAAGGTTACAATACTGTCTCTTCTTACGTACGGGCGACAAAGTAAAAACCTTTGGAAAGTCAATTGGTGACCAAAGGCATACACACGTGCAAACTACGAAGTTCTTGATATGACAAATTAGAAGAAATAACATATTTTGTTTTTTCACGATTGGCCATACAAATTAAATGAGTTTTAGAAAAACTTCATTTGAAGCATTTCCACTCACAAATGCAAGAGTTTTTACTAATCACTGGATATCCGCGTATTAATTGCGTGAGAGATATTAAAAAAAATTACATTTGTGTTATTTAAAAAAACAAAAATGTACCTCAAATGAACTTTGTGGAATATAAAACAGTACAACAGTAAAACAAACAGAAACCAGTAAAACAGTACACTGTTTTTAGTTCCTTTGGATGAGTTTCAAGAAAAAAATTTGAGCCATTTTCGTTAAAATGACGTTTGAGCGTTTGTAAATATGCGATATTTTATGCTCATTTTCACAAAAAAACTTGCGTTTTTGAGAATCTTTATATGACATCATTTAAATCTCATGTACTTGTAAATGCAATAATGTGGAAAAAATATTCGCCGCGAAAGTAAATATTAACCACGTGAGAGGCTAGTCAAAAAATTACATTTTTGTAATTTTTTAGAAAACAAGAGAATATAAAAAAATAGCGTGTACATCAGTCCGCCAAAGTTTAAAAAAAAATTGAAGCCGTTTTCAAGAATATTTTGTTTTGTGATTTTTTAAAAGTGCTCATATTGCGCGAAAACTAATATAAGTTTTAAAAAATGTACATTACCATTGAAAGAACTAAATATGGAGAACAAATTTCATTTAAAGAAAAAATCTCCATCTTCAATTTTTTACTACTCGGGCAACTTTTTTTGAACGATGACCTTGCTTCCCCCTCTCTGGCATAATAAACAGTTGAAGGAAAAAGCTCGCCATGAGCACTGATGACAATATTCCAAACACATCTTCACTGGCGCGAAATAGAAACTATTTTCTGTTGAAGACGAGAAATTTTGTCCGTGATTTTCTCCAAAAACTGTAAAGAAATAATCGAAGCAGGTGAAGATCGAAGAACAGGAGATACCTGGAACCTCCGAGAAAGTTAGAACGCAAATTCAGAAAGTTACGAAGCAATTACTGATTCTCCAAAGATTGGCATTGCTTCATAAAACCTAGTGGCTGATTACGTAACTAATACCCCCACTCTACCTGCATTTCTGCAATCCATCGTTCAAGAAAAGTTGCGTGTAATAGTTGTAGGAAGACGCCGAAAAAATTCGAACTTTTGAAATGTTCGAAAAATCAGTAATTAATTAATTATAATTATAGTTTCATTCAAAACAATTTAAGGAAATTAATAATTGTAAAATATTGCATTTCTCACCCAAGAAATCAATTTGTTTCTGTTATGTGATTTGATGCATTGATATTTTTCAGATTTGGGGGAAAATGTGTTGCTATGCTACATTTACATTACATTATATGTTCATTTTGAGGGATACAATGTACTGTTATAAAGTGGCATTTTTTCTCCCAAGAAGTTTCAATTCAATTTGACATTGATCACTTTTTAACAAAGTAATTTCCTTATAACACAGGAAAGAGAAGTGAGTGTTTAACATCTTTGAAAATACATTTTATAGGACAATTAAATCTTTAATAAAAGCCACATAAAACCAAATTTTCCAATGTTTTCATGACAAGATTGTCGGTAATAATCCAACTGCTGTCAACATTTGGTTTACCATTTCACATGTTCTTCCACTTATTTTCTGAACTTCTTCCTGCATCAATGTCAATTGTCTTAAATATAACCTTTTAAAATTTGTTCTTATAACAAACATTTCCAGTAATTGAATCTACTGAGAAATAGAATGAATCAATTCAGAATCAATAGAGTGAATAAATTTAATTTGCCAAGTAACTAAATGACAAGGAAAAATTGAAATATTAAAATTTTGAAAAATTTTTTCAATGAGCAAAAATCAAAAGTGAAGGTTTTGTTGTAATATTATTCTCTTATCTTTTAACTGACTTTGAAAATTTCTTCCAAGTACAGCATTTGTAACTTCAACTTGTGCTAAAACAGCACATACTTTTTGCCTATACTTTCATGCGTTTAAAAAAAAGTACATATGACATTATTTCAAAATATATCTCAAGGGGGGAAAAAAAGGAACTTTTGCAATTTTCAAAAAATCAGTTTTAATGAAAATGAGATCTGCATCATTTTCTTCACTCTCCTTCACACTATCCAAAAACAAAATTTAATCCAAAACAATGGAGCCAATCTTTTGAAAATATCCTGGGGTTTTTTGTAAAGACTTACATGTGTTAGGAATTTTTTTGTAATTGTTTACATTTTTTTTGAGGAATGTTTTTTTGTTACCAGGGCCCTGTAATTAGAGTTTACTGCAAAAAATACATTTTTTGGTGCAGCGTTACGTAACTTTATCTCTAATGCATAAGTAGTAGCAAGAAAGTAAAAACCAATCTCCTCTCAAGAAATCTACTTTTCTTTTTTTTTATAAAATAATTTTAACAAAAAATATATTGTAAAGGGACACAATGAAGAAAGACCAAGACAACTTTAGGAAGAAAATAAATGTTTACTTTATTATCTTTTTCATAAATAGAATACATTATATACTATTATTAATTTATAAACACACTCAAAAAAATTTCACAATTATTAGGCACTTACAGAGAGCTCTGCACAAGCTGCATTCTCATCATACTGTTAAAACATCACAAGTATAAAGTTATCAAAATTCCTCTCTTCGGCTTTTCTCATCCAATTCAACAAGAATTCAGTGAACAATATTAACATGTAATGAGATTCGTTTTTGATTTTTACTAATGTTTTGTTAAATAATGTACTATTAATATAATTATTAAAATGTTTGCCAATTATTCTCCTCCTAAGAGTTAAATATGACATCCTTAACTTCAGCACATCATTTTTCTAAAGCACAAATTAAGCATCAAACATCATTCATGTGGGCTTTAATTGTTCTCCCAATATTGAGGTGAATATGTTATAGATTAAGCATAATTAATTTGATATTGGGAGGACAAAATCTTTTCAGCAAAATATCTTCACCCTTGACTTATTGAAAATCATGTTCACGTACATTTTAGTAAAAAATGCTTAAGGCACTGAAAGCATGTGCCACTAGCAAGGTATTTGCCTGTATTAGAAAACAAGCAGATGTTGGCAAGAGTTGTATACTCCTATAACTGGAATAAGATACTTAAAATTCTATTGCAGCCTAACACATTCAAATGTTTACCATAAGCATTTTTTAACAAATTCAAAATGCCTTTAAACAGGAAAAGCCTAGGCTGCTTCAAAAACATAAACAATGATATGGCAAAAGACGTAATACTAATGGTAGGGTATTGGAAATCAAAATGAAAATTACTTTTCATTTATAAGTTAAGGCAGTTGACATAATCAATGAACAAAAGGAATAAACAAAGATTAAAGAAAGAAGAAATAAAAACATGGAAAAAAGATGTTTAGCTATGTAGAGGAAGAACATCCATGTGTTAATCCTGGTAATGGCATATAATTCAATACCATTAAAAATTTAAAATCTTGAGAGTAAAGAGATGAGCAATAAAATTCAAAATACATCATGTAGTTTTTAAATTTAGAACAGATATTCACATCAGGTAGATAACAAAAGATATGACCAAAAAGTGAATAGCATTGGAAGAAATAGCACAAATAATTGAACATCTATCACTATCCTTCCATTCTTATAGAAGATTGACTTTAGAGTTCTTTTTTGGCTCTTCGTTAAGTGTAAGTTATCTTGTTTTAATTCACAATGAGAAAATCTCATGGAGAGCCAAAACCCTTATTCAATTAAAACAACAAAACAAAATAGAATTATAAAACAAAACAGCAATGGATTCAATTAAAACAACACAGCAAAATTCCTTTCAAACAAATTCAGTAACTTTCTAAGGCCATCAACTTTGGAACAGTACATAATTTATTACTTTCAGTTAAAATATTTTCAATTACTTTATTGACCTGAGTATTCTAGAAGAATATTAATTCAATATTATCAGTAATTCATTTGCTAATATTTTTATCAATTAATTAATTGATCAGTAGTTTTAAAATGATAAATTGAAAATTAATTGAACTTGGCTAATTACAACAAACAATTACTACATCAAATGAATATACATAATGAACAGTAGTCAATGAATGATCAAATCTTGGTGAATGTAACATTCATCGCTTCATTTTATCCAAGATGGGCAAAACCATGTCAAAAGTTGGTCTTTTCCCAGGGTCTTCGTTCATGCAGATTCTCACCAGTTTGGCCAAGTGAGGAGAAATGCCAGGTGGAATTGTTATTCTCAAGCCTTCCAATGCAATCTGCCAGCAGCAAATTAGAATACATTAAAAACTTATTCAGATTCAAAAGCCAAAACCAAGCTGACAAATAATTTCATTCCTAACATGACAAACCTTCATTCCTGTTTCCATTGGAGAAAGATCTGCAAATGGAACTTCCCGTGTTGCCAGTTCCCACAAAAGAATTGCATAACTCCACATGTCTGATGCCTCCCAATTAATTTCAGATGGCTTTTTTTGAAGAGCTGCCAACAAGAAATCACAGTTTAATTGTATTTTGAGTTTTGATCACAAAATATACATAAAAGCAAATTCCAATGGAAGGTAATAAAACATAGAGAAAAATTATATTTTTGAAATGAAATAAAATTATATTTGTTTGTTATACTGAGTATCAAATCTAGAGCAATCGCCTCGTTTATTAATACAGAACTAAAACTGTTTTGACAAGTATAAAGTGTTTCCGTACTTAGAATTCATCCTCCTTTTACATTTACCCATTTTACTTCAATATTGTATGTATACAATCTAGAAAACAAAAAACTAGATGGAAACTATTTATAATTTTAATGAATGACTTTTTGTGCACCATTTTATTAGTTTTGAGTTCTTAGCTCTATCTACTCAAGTCAGAGCATGTATGACATTTACGTACCTTAAATAATGTTATTACCTATTACATCATTACATAAACATACATAAATACAACACATGTATATATTACATACTTATTTTACATTTATTATACAATAATTATTAATAAACAAATGTATTTACTATATATCTTAATTTTGAGAGAAACAGGAGGAAATGTGCACAACATTGTATACCTGCCACCTTTCACCTCCTCATAAATTCATTTCATGCGTTATAAGCTTTATTCCTTTAAAATTTATGCAGTTAAGTTTTGGAGACAGATTATTCTAGTTACATTTTAGGTAACCTAGAAACAGGAGGAGGTATTTCCTCACATACTATTTCCTCTTCTTCAATTATGGAGCTATTGTTATGAGATCTTTCCCTGCATTGTTTATTTCTTCTGTTATGGTTACATAATTCTTAATTTCTGATCAGAAATAGCTATTTTATGCTTCAATGGTTAAAATTATGGTCCTCAACATGTATAAACTTGACAAGGTCAGAAGTTTTAATCATGAGAATAATTTTCATAAAAGACTTGTAGCCCAATTTGTGGTATGGTTCTAATAAATTATTTTTGTACTTTCAATGCTTGTTTAATACTCACTCCACCTGTAAATTGCTTGCATTTCCCTACAAGTTAACACAATATATGCTTAATTACGTAACTCATTATGTGTGTCTATTTATGGAAACTGATATACAAATAATTTAACAACTTCAGCTCTTGAACATCATAAAATATTGACCAATTATTCCATCATTCCTGATGTGAAATAATTATATCAACTACACAACCTACATATTTTTCAATTAATCTTACAAGAATACCTAATTTATTACTACATTATGATCTCATAATTACAAATTTAATTTCAAATTATATTAAGATTCAATAGACTATCCAATATACGGCGAACTTACCCACTCTAAAGAACATCAACTTTTGTTTATTATGCACACTCTCCTCTTCATTTTATTTCTTTTATTGACTTATAATACATCCATATTTTCATAAGGCCTCTACACGTGTACCAATTTGTTACAATGACCAGCCAACCAATCTGACATAGAGCATTGCATCGAAGCGCAATTTCCAGCACTAATTTGTAATGAGTTGTTTGTTTGTTTTAACTACCAGACTGCCGATTCCCCCACCATACTGCCTAACAAATTGTGAAACATGATGTTTAAGACTGATCTACAGTGATTGCAGTCCTCCAAACAAGAAAAAAATGTGAAAGGTGTTTAATTGGAAAGTCCGCTGCTAATAAACCTTTTCAGGTTCACTGATTAAGAATATGAAGTCAAAAACTGAAAAAATTGCAGATATATTATGCCAGAAATAAATTGAAACATATAACAAAATGCAAAATTTTTCGCATAATTGGTCAGGTAAACATGTTTCAACAAGATTTATAAAATAAATGCAACATTTGGAAAAGTATTTTTTTTATTTATAAATTGAAACCATTATCTACAATATTCAAAGAAATGGTTAACTGGAAGAGTTTAATAATCTGATTGTTTGTACTCTCAATACTGGAATAGAACTCTGCTGTATGCAGTTCACTTTCAAAATGGACAATGAAGACGAATACAAAAGAAGTGTCCCTTATCCGCATTTTAACTCCAACTATAAGGGAATTCCATGAACATCAAAATCCATAGATACGATTTTTTCAATTTGGCCAGTTTAAGGAATCGCTGTGCAACACCCTGACTACAGCACTTCAGTTTTCTTAGATTTCTGTTATGCTCACTAAGATGTTGCCTTGATGAAATTCTGAACACTACAGGAAAACCAGATTGGGAAAAGATAACATCATTCACGTGGTTGAACAGCGTGAAGCCAAGCATCCAATTTTGAAGACCTGATGATTGGTCCGATGAATTTAGTCTCATGTCGATGCCTTAAACGTAATAGTATTGATTCACTATTTCTGCACAAGAAATATTCCTCAAATTTTGCAAAAATGTATTTACGATTTCCCTTCTCTTTCACAATAAGGGCCTAGCATGGAAATAAGCAGGATATAGCTCCTAGCATAATAAATGACAGAACAATTGTTCCTACGTTCCAATTTATCCTAAGAATTTTCATTTGATGAAAAAATGAAAATTCTCCTGATACTATTATTTCTCATTGTTCAAAACTCTCACTTAACACACAGTTAACAGTCTACGTTCCTTGCCAATAACTGTTAAATTAGGCTGTAAATCATTTAGTGTATGTTTTAATCAAAAAGCATATTTTGTATTTATCTTTAGCCAATGATCCAAACACACATGATTACCTACTTTCAAGGTTCATCCAAGCTCTAGGACTTATGAAATGAAATTGGCTCATTTCGTATTATCTATCTGTAAAATTTTTAGCATCACGGAACTATAATTAAGCAAATACCTTCAGGAGACATCCACGCTGGGTAATATATTCTTCCTTTCTCTTGGAAAGAAAATTTTGCATCAGCCATATTTATTCGAGCTGTCAAGTCCTCGTCCATCTTGCATAACGAAAGAAAAAATGATTAGAATTAAGAACATAAGTTACATTCATCTAATCTCAAATATAATTTCATCCATCAAATAATTATATACTTCTTTATTCAAACTTTTTGGTAGTTCAGTTAAAATTAATTAATTTAAAAAGTTAACATCTACTAATGTGAATACATTAGAGAATTTTAATACAAAACTAAAATTCAATTCATTGACAATGAATTAGATTTCATCACAGTATTATAATGGCAATTGGCAAGAAAGAAAATGAACACTACATTCATTAAAGGTATATTACCATAACATGTCGACTATTTAGATGATATTGGGGAATAATTCGTTCCAGGCTGTGGAGGAATGCCATGCCTCTGGCAATATCCAAAGCAAATCTTAAGGCTTGTGCTGTATCCACAACGACACCTGTTCCTTCATGTAGCAAAGTGTACAAAGAGCCCCAAGGCATGTACTGATTAATAACCACCAAATTAGGAGGTGAATTACAACACCCAACCACTGGCAAGACATTTGGATGGGAGAAAATCCTGAAAATGATTTTAAAATACAATGGATTAAGCGTCACAGCCAACCTTACACATTCAAACAATTTTCCAAATAATTTCTAACTAGTTTTTGAATAATGCAAACCAGTTGGAATAACCTGACTTCAACAAACCTGGTAGAAATTGTAACATTCTACCAATAATAAACAATGCAAGACTAATACTATAGATTCAACAAGTCTTGACTAAATTTGAACTTTATTTTCTCTCAAATTCATGTAGGTAGAGTATTTTTAACACACTGTGCCATGTCTGTAATATGACCAAGGTGTTCTCACATTAAATACTATGCTTGCAATATTGTGACTGAGGAAGTGTTGTCCTAGAAATGACATGCCCAAAATAATATTAAATGCCATCTCCCATTTAAATGCTTGCTTTTATTCAGAATATAAGGGCCTGGCAAATTTCACATAGCTTGTAGGCGATTTTTGTTAAACTTTCCAACCCCTGAAAGCATGATAGGAAACTTTATATCCAACACTACCACAGACCGACTTTGACTTATGTGAGCCCTAGGCTGTCAAATGTTTCAGTGTCCTTTTTTAATATAAAAGCTATTTATAATATTTTGCTTATCTACATTTTTGTACAATATTTATAACTGATGCAAATGTAAATGAATAATAATTGATTATATTTGCAATTTTTATAAGATTACACATTTTTAAATCAATAATTAAAAATAAGATAATTATAACAATTGCAAAAAAACACATGATCTGTTCAGTGATTGGTTAGACTCAAATTAGGAACCAGCCTTAATGTTAGTCTAGAGTATAAATACATTAACAAATTTATAAAGAAGATTATCTTCGTCTATTAAACACCATATATTAATATCCATTATAATATTTCAAGATAAGGTACAAGCCAAATCATAAAACTTACAAGAGTAAGAATTCTAGTTGTTCAATATTAATCACAAGAAAGTCAATGTACCGTTTCCTCAAAATTTGAGTGACTCAAAGTTTTATTACAGTTAATGCACTGTATACAATTTAGTGTTGTGTTAGATAGGCATTTGATATTGTCACCCCTGGAACGTTGATTATTAACCTTCTAAAGAATTCAACACATATCACTATTTTTGAGGCTCAGTATTTATATTCAATAAATTTTTTTTTAAATTATCGAATGTCATTTCTATGCATATTGAACAACTGTTATACTGGTATTAACAATCAACTTCACAGTAAGGTAAAAAAAATTTAAGTCCATTAATGAATCACCAGAAAATTAGTCAGTCATTTATCATTGTAATTTATTTCCACAATTCCTGAACTAAACTATTTAAAAACACTTTCTGCACAAACATGTACATGTTAAGATAAAAAATTGATTTATTTTACATTGAAAATAAAATTTGGAATAAATATTTCAACTAAATTCGCACCATGATATTTGTAAAATAAATGTACAATATTTTTGTATCCATTTTATGTGTATATATTCACGTATATAAATTTAATTAATATTTTCTTTTGTCACAAATATAGAAAGAAATATTTCAATAAAAACATTCAAAATTTCTCCTTATGAAATTTTGCATCCACTGAAATTCATCTGCTTCCTAAAATTGCACCAGGTTGCAGGCTATTCAGTAATCTGGCACTGAACTCTACTAAAACAAAACTCTACTAAAACAAAAAAGTATTCTTTATTGTAAAATAACCTCCAAGTAATTTTCATGTAATTTATTATACATAATGTGAAAGCAATGCAAGAAAATATAAAAAAAATGTAATAATGTTATTTGTTTAAATAGGTAGTGATATACTGTATCTCACTTACAATTTTTTTTCAATGCCCAAGCAAGATACTCATTTCTTTCATTGATATAGAGTTCATTAAGATACTGTCCACAAGGCCATTAAAACGCAAGTGATGGCTTGCATTTTATGGGTCATTGAGGGAGTGCACAAATATCTTACGCGAATTCTACATTGAATAATGCAGAACAGTACTTCCATTAATAAATTAGTGGCATCCAATGCTTTCTTAGTTCTATGTGCACCATGTATAAAATTTTACCTGAGTTTTGGAAATTCTTCATTGAAATCTCTTGAAATTCGCGAAGTGCATTCACGAAGAGCAAGAATCTTTGCAACAATTTCATTCTTCTGCCAACGTCCTCTCCAAGTCTCACCAGATGGGGAAGTTGCAATTTTTGTGTGAAGAGCTAAATCAGATATGTTAATACCCTTGTGTCTTGACAATGTAGCATCACCTGAAGTGCAAACAGAATGAACATTATGTTCATAATTCACAATATATGCACAATGAAAAAATCATGCATCAAGATGACTTACGACTCCTTGTCTTCAAACCCAGCCAACTTTGATCTTTGAAATTAATCTTTTTCAAATCTTGACCTGTTTCCACAGCCAAATCTAAACAAAATTATACATTTCTTAGTCAGTTTTAAAAGAAATTTCAAATATAATTTTAAATTGATTATTGTATAACTCACCATGAAGTCTCTTCGCTAAAATACCACGAGCTTTGTCCAAAGGTGTATCACCATCCTTGTTAGCCAATGAAACAAGAGCACCATGATGTATTAAGTCTTCAGCAATTGTATGGTATCCCCAAAAGCAGGCATAATGCAATGGAGTATTGCCATGTTCATTAGTGAAATTTATATCAGCTCTATTCCGCAACAGCTAAACAACATAAAAATGTAATAATGAAAATTACTAGCACATTACTAATGAGTTAGTTAAGAAGAAAATAAAACCAACCATGTTCACTATGGCCTGATGTCCATGGGCAGCAGCAAGATGAAGGGGAGTGTCATCCCCTCTATTAGTTGCATTAATACGTGCACCACGGAGCATAAGCATGTCTACAATTTTTTGGTGACCTTCTTTGGAAGCCCAGTGTAAAGGACTAAAGCCATGATCATCACTGAAAAAAAAAAAAAACTTTCAAAGCGAATATAACCAGTTTTGAAAGTAAACATTGACATATGTTTTATTATTAAGAGCTATACCTAATGGTATGATAATACCGAACAGTATACGAATCTCCCACGCACCATCATCCTCGTAGAAACTTTTCAGCATCATCATTGACGCCCAAAATCATACAGCTGCTGAATCGAATGTGACAACCTTATATGGCGATGACGTTTGGTACAAGACAGCGTGGGAGGGCGGTGATGTCATAACGCAATACTTTAAATGAGTTTTACAAACATTTACTGACTTACCCTTGATTCATGTCATGCTCGGTGTCATCAAGCCACACCCGCACTTGCATAGCGTTTCCCTCTCGACACCAATGAAAAATATCTTCCATTTTTAAGAGTTTAATGTGAACTTGCACTCACTTTCAAAGCTTTAAGTAATACCAATCGCAAATAGAATACCAAAAACTCCGCTCACATTATTTGAAATAGTACCAGCACTTCTTTCTTCAATCTTTCAGTCAAATTAAGGTCAAAAAACACTAACCGCCCGAACACAACACGCCCAGTTCTGGCATTGCCAATTTCGACGAACTCCTTCCTCCTTGCCCCCCTTCCGTTCTCGGTTCTTCCACCACCCTGCCCCATAGAGGAGAGATACAACTAGAGTGCGCGTGAACCTACTGCGCAGGTTTCAACAATCGCCGTGCCCCGTAAGTCACGACTTTGGGAACACCGGTAAGCTTGTTTTGGCCTTGTCATTGTGTGAACTTTTGCGTGCTGTTTTTATTTCTGTGCTACAGCGTAATTATTTGGGCCTTACAAGTTTAGCTAGGATCAACTAGGAAAAATGTTTTCAGCTGCATACGAAGCCAAAGCGGATTCAACAATAATCCTACTGCTAAGCTACATTGCCTGGCTTACAATCGATTTACTGATGCATCACCAGATTCTTCTTCTGCCTTTTCGCGAATTGTGTTCCACAGATAGAAACAACTACATTAAATGATAGTTTCACAGTCAGTATACAATGTGTGTCACAAGTGAATCATCCATTAACTGTGCATTGAGGTTGCCAATTGACCATATGTACTTGCCATCAGAGACCAATCTTCAAACTAGATTGTCTCCCTATGTCGTGGACATTGTAACGTATATTAGAGCATTTGTCGGTAAAAAAAATGGAAATTTCTCTTGCTTGTGTTGGACTGTAAATATTCTTTGCCGGACTGATAGTGACGAAGATCAATTCCTTCATTCAGAGAAGGAGATCATGGCCTGAAAATACCCTTCTGTAGATGTTCTGCAAAATAACCAAAGTAGAAGTTAAGAATAACTTCAAGGGAGAGCGTGACAGTTTTCAAAGGCCAGCTTACACTACAATTGTAAAATAGAAGTTTGAGCAGAATTTGTAAATAATTCCGTTTTTTGTAATTTTAATTATCATATTATTGGTAGAGCCATACTGAATCATAGAATGTCATATGTGATAAGCAATATTATTTAAATGCTATTGAAATTAGATTAAAACATATAGGAAGAGAAAAGACTGAAATTACCAGAAAAATTAGAATTAGGTCAGTTAATAATAAAATATTTATTTAGAGGGCATTAATGTGTAATGTATTCATTGGTTATAGTATATATTATTGTATTTACAGCTGTAAGTTATCTGTTTTGTAGTGTTAGTATATATTAAGTGTTTATGGTTTGTATGACTGTAAGTATTTCATTTTTATTAGTAAATTCTTTGAAAATCTAATTCATTTCAGCTTTCTCCTCAAAACCCCCATTTCGATCAGGTTTTTGTCATTTCCCTGATCCATTGAGTTTAAATGTACCTTCACTATGCGCACTTTTGTTTGAGCATTCCTTTTGCTTTTAAGTAGGAGTAAGCCCCAATTTATGATACTGTTTTGACAGTAATACAAAAAAAAATTAAAACCTTGCTGATTGTTTATCAGCCAAAAATAAGTTTTGTATAACTTGGGAGGGAAAATATCTAAGGCTATAGTTGAAAATGTTGGAAGAATTATTTGCAGCTCAAGAAAATGTGTGCATGGTACTTCTCCTCTGTATGTCACATACCAGTATTTAATGTTATTTAACTAAATAAATCACAAATATATATCCGAAATAAAAGTTTGTTTCCCCCCTCTACAAATCCTTGAAAATACTTTTGACATAACTTGCTTTATATGTCTGATTGTGGATATCCAATGCAGAGGTCTAGCATTGCAGTAGTAACAGAAACTTCGATTAATGCCCTCTCATGAGTTAAATTTATTTTACAAATATTTTTTAATTTATTTTCCTGGTAATAGAACTTGAAAAACAGTGTTATTGGGTACGCCGTTAAGATGACCAAGTTGGACAAAAATTGAACTTTTTCATGAACTTAAATTAATAAGAGCAGAATAACTTCAAATAACTTTTCTCTTAAAGCAGCATCGTAGCGCTGTTTCTGCAATAAATGAGAAAATAAACGCTGATTGAAGCTGTTAGACGCCACGTATTAAAAGAAATTCATTTAGTACGAGGCGGCTGTATAGCAGATGCCTCCCAGCTATCCCAAAGTCACGTGACTCGGGCGCGAGAGATGTGGAGAGATGTTGATACCCAGCCAGGCCTTCTGCGCAGCCTGGCGCGCACTCTAGTTGTATCTCTCTATGCCCTGCCCGAGCCTGCCTACCACAGACCCGTTGTCGACACCGCTACGCTGCTCCCACTAACTTCCCCTCCCTGCCCTACTGGTGTTCGCAGTCTTCGTCTTTTCGCAGGACGAAGACGGGTCCTTTGCCATCTATCTCTTTCTCATACACACAACCCCACCACAAACTTTCATCAGAGAAGTCCAATCCATGTGCACCAGAACGTCACGTGATTACGATAGCTGTGACATCTCGTTGAGATTGTGCGTACTGCGTTAACAAAAAACATCACTGTAACATAATTGTGATGTTCTGTGCTTTGTTCACACGTATTTATCTATTCTTTAAAGTGTAATTCTTATGAGTGAAAATTCTCGTAAGATTTTTTTCAAGTCGTGGAGTATGACATTCAAAATCACTCCATCTTGTGGTCTTTTCTGAAACTAAATGCATCCCTGTTGGGCCACAGCAGGCCACAGTTACTCCGTTCCGCTCCGTCTTGCTACTGTCTGTTCTTCGCTCCAGCTGCATATGTTGAAACTTTGGTTATTTATATAACTACAAGTGTGATGTTATTTAATCGGTTTAAAGAACTTTATTGCATTTTCAGCACAGAGTCATGTGAAATGTAGTGTTGGGAATTTTGTCATCTATGGGTCATTTGTGTGCTTAAGTGATCAGTTTGATCAGGAAGACTATTTTCTTGGTAAATAAACTGACTTATTTTAAGACGTCGACATCAGTTTGTCTTACTACAGAATTTCACACTTTGTGCGAGTTAATGTTAATATCACTTTCTTTGTGTCAAGTACATGTCTCGGACGAACTACGTATTGCTTTCAGTCTCTATCATGCATCTGTCGTGTTTAAGAATCTGCTGTTCGCAAAGATAATGTTCAATACCATTTTAAGAAAAGTTTTTTTCGCGTTAATGGTTTTTCATGTTTTTGATCATATTGTTTGAATACACAAAAATCTGATTAACATTGTGTGTTATCTAAATCGTTTTTACCTCGAGAGAAAATGTTAGTAACCATTGTTTTACTCGTTTTCTAATTTCATTATTAACGTATTTGACACATATTGCACAAACAAAGTAATCTCAATTAATATATTGCTGAAACTGCATCCATTCAAGTGATGAATGGTATCTAACCTTTTTTTATTTCCAAGTTTAATGTTGTAATTATGAAATGTCTTAAACAATTTAGACCGATTTTCACCTGTTGTACCTAAATTATGAACCAACATGAAATGATAATTTAATTTTGATATTACATTATGAAACTCTGCATAGGACTAAACGGAATTTGATCTGTAAACTTATTGTCTTGTAATATTGTTGATTTAATTACTGCTGTTTTAATGTGTAATGCTGTTCCATGATATATTAACAAATTTGAATATTTTTAAAGTAATTTTTATATACAAGTGAAAAACGGAGTGTTTGGTTCAAAATTTTGGTTGGAAAATTCTATATGCATTCAAAATCATTTTCTGTTTCATCTTGCAGGTTTATTTGGTCATAAATAAGTGTGAGGTTTGCCTGGTAAGGAAGATTTACTTTTGCAAGTTGCATATCCCTGCATGGAATAAAATTAAACATATGTTAGCTCACCGAGCATAAACACACTTGACTTAAAAGAAAGGTAATTTTATTTCTGCTACATAGTAAGTTTTAATTACAATATTTTTAATTATTTAAAGACTCACTTCAAGATGTAATGTCGTTCTAGCTAGTTTTCAGTTCATTGATCATCTGGAGTAAGTATTGTGCATGATAATGAATGGCATGTGTAAGCATGATCAAGAAATTTGTTTGGGTATTATTTCATTGATGTATGACTTCCAATTACAAAGCACTTTGCTAAATATAGGTGATATTTGTCAATTTCGCTTGTTTGCCAAGATTTGTATGTGTACGTTTCTGTATGTAAGTACTGTCATGACTTAAGTAGTGACATATACTTGCAAATTTGACAGGAATCTCCTTTAAAATTATTATATTGTTGAACATTTTTGCATTAATAGTGTGTATAATTGCAATAACTGTTCAATTGCCTATTAAAATCCCTTATATTTTTTATTTTAATTGTAAAGGATGGTTCAAGTGAGCCTAAGTGGTTCAGAAATTAATTGTGCCAAAAATAGATCTTTTGTTTAGTCAGTGAAATTTTCTATCAACAGTCCCAAAAGGAATCGCCCAAGATTGTGTAAGTAAGGGTTGTGTACGTTCGTTTTTAGGACTGCTATGTAACCTGAGATCTTAATGAGTATTAAGCAATATACTATAGTGGAAAATCGCATCTACAGGGTCCCAATCAATTTCACTCTAGTTTTAGTTTTCAGTTGCTATCTGATGATTTGAAACTTACCCTTTTCATCCAAATTAAAATAATAAAAAAAAAAGTACTTAATGCCTTATCACTGAATGTACTGCAAGTTCAATAAAATGCAGAATTATTAAGGATATAGGTTAAAAAATTATATCAGCACACAATAGTGTTGGTTGATTAATAGTATTTGTATAATTAAAAAATTACATTATGAATTTAGCCAGGATTCATAAAAACCTTTTTTGTTTTTATATTTGTATAAACAAAGTGAAATAAATAATTGTTACCTGTTATAATATACCTTAAATAACAGAAGGTAATTAAGTTCTTTGTAAATTTTTATTTGTTTCAATATTTAATTCACTTCCAATTTTCAAGCCTAGTAAAATCATAATTATACTTTTGCATCATAGTGTTAAGTAGCCTATTATGAGGCTTCATGACTCCTTTATATCACTCACCTCTTTATTTCTGAATAGTGGTTTTTAAGCTGGATAGACTGAAGGGTGTAATTATATTAATACATTGAAGTATTCAGTGAAGTCTTCTTGTGTTATGTAAACTAAACGTACAGTGGCAGAGGCTAAGCTTTTGTATGCTTGGAAAGTAAATTAAGATTTTCTCTACGATGTCAGCTGTTGTTGAACATGTCAAACAGTGCAAAATTGAAATATTTATTTTTAATATTGTGAAAATGATTTTGGTATTGAGCTGAAAGAGCCCTTAGAAGCATACAAAATAGCAATAGGACAAATGAATAATGACACTGATGTTGTTGTTTGTTTTTTTGTTTTTCTTTTTCTTCCCCAATCATTATTTTTAATTAGTTTTAGCACAGAATATAAAGTTTTCAAATAATCATGGTATGCAAACAAAAAGATATTCTATATATTGGTGTAGTTCAGTGATTGGTATGTCCATTTTCTGTTTGCTTTTCCTTTTTGGAGTTCAGATTTCAAATAAATGTGATTTGTTATGTATTTTGTGGTTATGGGAAATTTTAACTTGAGATGAATGTAAGTGTAAGCAATTAAATTTATCATTAATAATATATAGACTAGATACATATATTGGTGTCTAATTTATGGATATCTGGCAAAACATGTTTATATTTATACAAAATATTAGATATAATAATTTTCAAAATTTGTAATAATGTTAAGAAATATTTTGTAGAAGCTCCTACTTTTCTCAACTATTGCTTGCTGATCTTGCAAATACTATTTGTGTGTAAAGTTTATTTCCTACTTATCTGTGAGAAGTATGTCAATAATCTAAATTCTAATTCTAATCTAATCTCAAATTATCATTTGTCTGAAAAATCAACATTGTTTACACTTGTATTTTCAAATTCAAAAAAGAGCTTTTTCTGAGAATTTTTGCTTAATGTGATTAGTTTGCTTGTGTGCTCTTATATGCTTTGATTTCTTTTACACTTTGTGTATCAATACATACAACAAAGGTAAAATTTGACTGGAAAGACAATATTCTATTATTGTTTCATGTCATATTTTTTTTAAATAAAATGTTCAAAGAAGACATGCAGTCCCATTATCAATTAATCTTGGACAAATTGTAGCTTTTCTTCTTATTGCTTGAACAGATTTGAGTGCTTGTGTTTTGTAGAAATATTTCATTAAATTAATGTAATGAGTTGAAAACTAAATTAAGAATGTAATGTCCGTTGATGGTGCATTTATCTTATATATAAGATATAATATCAGTAATAATAGTAAAACTGTTTATATGACAGTTAAGAAAAAGTATGTGGTCAAGTAAATTTTAGAATGCTCTGGGCAGACTAATTTGAAATTAAAGACTTTAGAAACTGCTTGTGCAGCTTATTTTTTCTCAACTGTCATGTGTAAATATATATACTGAGTTTTATTCCTGAACAGCTGGGATGCTTTGCCAGTTAATAAAATGGAATTATTTTGAAACTTATAGTGTTAGCATTGTTTAGTGTAAATAGTTGCTTTTCACAGGAGGTGTGTCAGTGGCATTTATCTTTTAAGCTTCTTAAGACTAAGCTGAGAGGAAATTTTGCCTTGAGGGAGGAAAGGAGAAAAGTGACATGTGGTTTGCTATTGCTTCACATTTGGTTCTCCGGTGTTGTGGTTTGTTAATATAGTGTTGACAAGTTGCCTCTATGCCAAATTTGGGCTCCAGTCAAGCCATGGACAACACTCCACAGCAGTGTGAGCTTCTGGGTACGGTGAGACTTTGGACGATGCTTGTTGATGTGTAGGTTTGCTGCAAGATTTGGTTCTCTTGGATGCAAATTATTCAAGCGTTGAAAATATGAATGCATTTTTCTATGAAATCACACTTGGTGCCTATTAAATTGCTCTGCATATGAATCATCTTGTATTTTTTCATAATTTTTTATTATTGTCATGTGAATTCAGAAAATGCTTGTGCATGTCACACCTTAAGAAACAAATATAATATTGTATTGTCCTTATGATGTTTTTGTGTTGTTAAATGCAGCATTCCAGTGAATGTCTTTCTGTACAGTAAGAGATAGCTACATTGTTTTTTGTTTGTTGTTTTTTTAAATTAAAAAATACTTGTTGTTTTGTTCATTTCAAGTCTTGAATAGTATGTGCATTGTAATAAACTCTGTATAGCACATTTGGAATGGCTGGCCTGTGGGAACATAGGGAATTTCAAGTGGAAATTTAGATGTTGTCTGCATGTTTAGTATCATCAGACATCTAATTGTAGAATGCCAGGTCAGGGTAGTGACAAACTGCCAGCCTGTTCTGATGGTCATTTTAGAAATGGTGTATTGTAATTAAATAGTATGGTTTTGTAGATTCCATTTCATTCTCTAGACACATATCTTAGTTGTATGTGGCATTGCAGTTCAAAGTCTGAGTTAGTGTTTGTAAGAATTACTATTGCCTCTGACTTCTCAGTTTAGAACTTGTGTTATAGGTAATTTAGAGCAAAATGAAGCATTTTCAACATCTGAGATTCCATAAAAACTCCCCCTGTAAGTGCCAACACTTGTTTATTTCTGAAGCTTTTTATTAAATATAGCGTTGATTTTGTAAATAAGTAAACAGCAAAAGATTGATAAAATTGAACCAGGCACTTACAATTACTGTTTTTCTTGCAAAACTTGCACAATATTTCAGCCTGATGAATAAAGTGGAACTACTAAAGAAGATAAAATTCATCACAGATGGAAACTATGTATGCCACTCAGAAAGAAAGACGGTTAAGTGAACATGTGACCTCATGTGGTCAGATTCGAGAATATAGATGGGCATGGACAGCGTCTTGCAAAGCGCGTGTGCACTGGAGGGCACAGAAGAGTAGAATGTGCTGAGTCACCTGTAAATGCTGCATTATTACGGTCATGATAGAAGAAATTGATGGCCCAAGATCATCTTAAAGAGTTACAGTTTATTTCTAGAATTATTGGATGAATAAAGTTTCCTTTTTCTTTTAAAATTATCCAGAGAACCAAGTTACAATTGGAATTTGAAATGTTGGGATTTAACAATTTTTTTGCTGTAATTGGTATTTTAGGAAATTGTCAATTTTAAAACAACTAATTTTTAAAGATATAGTAATGCTATTTTCTTGAGTCATTAGTTTATTACTTCAAAAAAGTAATAATCTATTTGTGTGTATACATCCTAATAATAATACTTATTGAACTCCAGATATACCAAATGTTTGATAAAAATTTATTGTCTAACCTCTAAAATAAAGACTCCATCTTTTTCTTTTTATTAATGCTGATAACTCCAAGCTAGTTCTTATGTTGCATGTGAAATTTTCTAGATTTCAGCGAACTCAGATTGCTATTGATAAGATGCTCTCCTTATTTTCTAACATTCATTAGTGCATCTTCTCACAGAGGATAACCTAGAAAAGCTACTTAGAAATCAAGGGGATTTCTGCTTCAAGTCAATGTTGGTTTTTATTACTCTGTAGTTATTATTGTTTATTCAAATCACTTCCTTATGAAATTGAACTTTAATCTTTCAAAAATATAAGTTAGGGACAAAGAGAGAGCGCTGATTTTGATCTAGAATGACCATTTGTGTTGGCCAAGATGACCTGTTACATGTACATATTTATAATTGATATAGATGCTGCATGTGTGTTTTGTGATATGTGGGGCTCGAGTGTTGCACGATGACAATGGATATGTATTTTTTTTTTATTTGGTGTTTTGTTTACTAATATTTTAGTTTCAATATTTTATTAGTTTTCTGAATGATAGTTACTTGATTTTATTGATTTGAAGTATTTGTAATGAATGGCTTATGCATCAGCAGTTCCCAATATACACGTGAATTGCTTGTGTTTGGTATTTTCTTTAACTTTCATTAGAACTTAGAAATCCTAATTTTATATCTTAATATCATGAGAAATTAACGGGAATATGAGAGAAAATTAGTGTGCATTATTTGAATATAAGAAGCATTCCAAAATAACCTGCACAAAGATGTGGCATTAATTGCTATCTCTTTACAATTCATGCATTGTGTAATTGATACATTTTATTTATTTACATCAAAAACAGTTAAAAACTGTGTGACGTGACATTTTCTACAGTTATAATCATAACAGATATGTGTCAATCTGGAACTGGGTTCCCGGACCAATGTAGGATATATTCATAACTCATAATTTTTCTATTGTTTGTAGGAGTCCTGGAAATGACTGCCACAGAGAGTACTATTCGATTTAGTGGCCATACTTTGGATAAGGCCACAAAAGCCAAAGTAACCCTTGAAAATTATTATAGTAATTTGATTGCCCAACATATAGAACGCAAGCAAAGGTGAGAAAGTTACTTTATTTTTGGTCATACTTTCTAATGAAACATTCTTCATAAAATCATTTTGAGTAATTGTTTGTTTAGAGTTTAGGGATACACTGACAAATTGTAAATGAATTTATGCATAAATTTGTGTTGAAATATATGTACTACAGGGCAATTAGAAACATAAACTTATTAGTCTTGAAGTGTGCATTGTATGGTATGTAATCATTTATTACTCCTGCACTCTCAAAAAAAGTATTCTTTAAATAGATAATGTATTTGAGTCTCACAGTGATCTGACATGTGTTGATAATCATATTGCTAATTTTCGAGTAGGGACTGTGAGCCTGTGTTAACAAAAAGACAAGCTCAAGTACTCCTAGAATTGCCCAAGTATCTATCACAATTATCTATTAGATAGAAAAAGGAATGGAGTCTTACTAGTGTAAAATGAAAGTTTTATTTACATTCCTACCGTGTCCTGCCTCATCCCTGCCCCACTTCTGTCAAACATTCTCTGAGCTCTGCTCTCACTGCTCTGCGTTGCTTGGACCAGATCTGATCATTCGTACTGCCAAAATCTATCACAGGGTTGAACCAAAAAAGGAAGGGCATGATGCTTTCTCGTAATTATGTAATGATCGTGTAAAATTATTATTATATTGCATTTTATGTGCTAATTTAGCTGTTTGGGGGAGAAATGTTCCTTATTGAAACTGCTTAAAATGCAGCACATGATGTCTATTTCTCTAGACTCTTCTAGTACTCGCTAAATAAGTAAAATTGAGCATTTTGTTACACATAGCCAGTAGTTTGCATAGTGTTCTTAGCTGAATCTACTTATCTTAATGACATTCAACCACATTTGTTACCCTAATAATGCACAAATGTTTCTTCAGCTTTAAAAATTTTCATCATTACATTAATTTCCTTATTTACCCAAAAATAAGTTAACTCTGTATTTAAGACAACCCCCTAATTTTGAAGAGATCTCCTGGGAGTTTTTTAAATTTTAAACTAATACTAACTAATTGTAAACAGTCAACTTGACAAGAAAATTATCTTATTGATGAGAACATTAACACTTATTGCCTGAATTATCACTATTTTCTTGTTTAAGACAATGTAACATAAATCCTAATTGACTAGTCTTACTCTATGAATATGATGACCCTGCTTTTCAAATGAAATATCTTGAACTATAAATCAAACTTTATCTTTCACTTGGGTAAATAAGGTAATTAAAAAATTCTCAGTGATTTAGTTGATGAATTGTTATTTGCTATTTTAAAATACACTTTTAATGTAAATTTTAATGAAATAATAAAAAATATGTGTGTATAATTTTGAAAAAATAGAAACTTTTAATCAAAATGGTGCTTATTTGTACACCAAGTTTTAAGAAAACATTTGGAGTAACTTTAGAGAAAATTTTGTTTAGATATTTTCAGGAAATTGTCATAAATTAATAGAAAATTAAGTGAAACACATTAGGTCTCACAAATTAGAAACTGTTGTTGTGGTCTTTTTTCATTATTCACTGACTTCATGTTATAGCTAGTGACTATATTCACATTTTCTGTTTCCTGAAGTCTTTTGTAAATAGCATTAAAATCTGTTCCATGAGTAATTACTGGATGTGGGACTTCTAAGACAAACTAGCTTATGTGATCACATACAAATTATCTCAATAATTCTTGTGATAAAGTTTGGTTTAAATGCAAGATTGTGGATTTTCATGAAAATAATTATAGTTGAAGTACTTTATAACTTGTTTCTATTTATAAATATTCTGTTTTCAAATTTATTTCAACAGGTTGGCAAAGTTGGAAGAATCCTTAAAAGATGAAGGCCTAACTGAAGCTCAAAAACAAGAGAAACGTCAGCAACATGCACAAAAAGAAACCGAGTTTCTTCGTTTGAAGCGTTCAAGACTAGGTGTTGAGGACTTTGAGCCTCTTAAAGTGATTGGACGAGGTGCTTTTGGAGAAGTTCGTCTTGTGCAGAAAAAAGACACTGGTCATGTGTATGCTATGAAGATATTAAGGAAAGCTGATATGTTAGAAAAAGAACAGGTTGCCCATGTGAGAGCTGAAAGAGATGTGTTGGTGGAAGCAGATCATCAGTGGGTTGTTAAGATGTATTATAGTTTTCAAGATCCTATTAATTTATATCTTATAATGGAATTTCTGCCTGGAGGTAAATAATTATGAGTTTTCCAGTATTTTGGATGTAATAGACAGTGTTCTTTACAATTATTTTTGTGAGTAGGTGACATGATGACCTTATTGATGAAGAAAGATACTCTCTCAGAGGAATGTACTCAGTTCTATATAGCTGAAACTGCATTGGCAATTGATTCTATCCATAAACTTGGATTCATTCACAGGTACAGATATTTTGTATGTCATATTTAGGATTTCTTGGTATTCTTGTTTATGTATCTAATCTAGTGTTTTGCTGGTTTATTACAATATTTCAATCTTTATAGGGATATCAAGCCTGATAATCTCTTGTTAGATGCTCGAGGACATATCAAGCTTTCAGATTTTGGTCTTTGTACAGGACTAAAAAAATCTCATCGAACTGATTTCTACAGAGATTTGAGTCAAGCCAAGCCATCAGACTTTAGTGAGTATCATATGAGAGGTAACATATATTCTGTGGTAAGAATTGGGATATTTCATTGTATGTCTTAAAAAAAATATTCTAATATATGCACATCTCAAGGTCAAAAAAGTGATTTTTTAAAAATCATTTCAGATTTTGTTTAGCAGTAATATAGAAGATAGTATAATTAACTAGTAAACTTCCATAAAGATACTTTTTAAACCCAGGTATAGAGTATAACACTTTGTCTTAGGTCTAGAAATAATAGTCCCAGTCAGGTTCAAACTGTTATCCTGGAGAAGTCTCTTTTTGGTCACTAGTAATATAAGAATAGATTATATTTATATGCTTAATTATTCTCATAAATTTCATTTCATCAATCAGTTATATTAGCAGGTTAAAATAGTCTTAATTGTTCGTGTTAATAAATAAGTTTATTGACTTCCTGATTAATATTCATAATATAACGATAAATTGAGTCAATAAAGATAGTAAGGGTATGAAAAAGGCAATTAAGGCTCAGAGACTGTTAAACTCTTAAACTAGATCTGTTAGGTTTCAGAAAATTAAAATCACTTGAAATTTTTTGCAAGTTCATACAAAAATAAAAATTAATTATATGTATCCTGTTATAAACCCCCTGTTCATTTCAGATTCAGAAAGAATTAGTAGGAACATGTATGATTCATCTGATCACTTGTTAAATAAAGAATGAAATCATATGGTACAATGTACAAAACTTCCATTATTTTCTGAATTTTCATCTATGTTTTTAATTTATTTTTGATATCCTAATATGGTTTTGTATTACTTTTTGTTTGATGGTATCAGGAATTATGGTGAAAATCAGTTTTGCTGTTGCTTTATTGTTAGTAATTTTAATTCATCTATGAATGATCAGTGTGGGTGAAAATCAGTTCATAACTACTATTTATGTTTAGTATAAAGGTTTTACTTTTCTATCTTTAAAAAATTTTGTAGTATCTAAATTTTTTTAATGTTTATGACGACTAAACCAAAACATTATAGTTATTAGAATGTTTCTCTACGTACATTTTTTAGGTGGGCCCCTTTGCCCTTTCTGTCAAATGGGCTAACAAACTGACTTATTCGCAATGCACAATCCTTTACACAAAGATAAATTACTGAATTTTCTCAAATATAAGTTTCCCCCTTTTTCTTCTTCCAAAAATTGGCACCAGGCAGTGGAAGGGGGCTAGTATGCCAGAATCTAAAATGAACCCAAATTAATTTCAAAAATTTTATTTTTCAATGTTACAAATAGATAGTTCTTAGTTTTTCCAACATCCTGTCTGCAGTTTTCTTTGAACCTATTGACAATAAAAATTGCAGGTAATTAGCAGTTTTTTAACAGAGAATGTACAAAAGCTTTCAGAAATTTTTATCCGAGAAACTGATAATGAATGTGGCAGGTGTTCATAGGGCAGTGTGTGTGGGGTCTATATTTGAGACAATATTCTTCTTACACAGAGACCTGGCTGATTCTCAGCACTTATCACTTAAATCTAAGCCAAATCATTGGAAAGTTATAATAGAAAGGCAAGTTAACCCTATCTGTTCTAGCCTCAAGTCCAATGGATAGTAAAAGGCGTGCAGAAAGCTGGAAGAAGAATCGAAGAGCTTTGGCTTATAGTACTGTTGGTACTCCTGATTACATTGCTCCAGAAGTGTTTTTGCAGACTGGCTATGGTCCAGCATGTGACTGGTGGAGTCTGGGTGTAATAATGTATGAAATGCTGATAGGTATGTTCATATTGTATTATTAATTAAACTTCAAACCTTTTATAATCTCTGAACATACTACTTTAAGTGCTAATTTTAAAATTTCAATATAAGTTGCAATATTGTGAACTAAGTTAGTTCTAGAAAGATTTTCGATAATGCCATCATTTAACTTTCAGATTGATCAATAGAGAGTTTATTTTTAGGTAAAAGTTATCTTTATTTTCTTGGTAAGTCAGTCATTCGCAATAGAAGAGCTGACCACATGAATGCAGTTTAGTCTTCAAATTATGATTTTGCTTCAAAATTCACATTCGTAACCCTTTTCTGCTAATTACAGCACACCCCTGGTCTAATCGCTGTGTTGATTCTTAGCCTGGCAAGGGAACTGCTGTACTGAACACTTCATGCTGTTGTGCAATACCCTCAGAGGCCAAGGTGTTGATATCTATTTTACACATTCCCCATCCTTCTTTTTCCAACAATTTCTTGCTAAATAAAGCCAATCAACATGCCATACCAATTAAATAATGAAAAGAGGAAAATAAATAAGTAAAAAACTAAAACATGTCCAAATATAAAGCCAATGTCGTGGTAAGAAACAGTACAGTGTCTGTTTATTTTGAAGGTATTGCACCTTAAGAATACAACAGAGCTTGTCCCAATTGCATAAACAATACATGACCTTGTATCAAAAAAAATAAATAAATAATATAAAGAACTAAACCCATACGAGACAATATGCACATGCATAAACTGTTGGGTACAGATCCAGGAGACATATATACATGCATACATACATTCATTCATCACATGCATAGCAGTGAAAGGGTTAATAAAATCCATATTTCACAGGAGGGAAGGTACAAATTGTTTGTCAAAACATTTCATCAAAATAAACGCTACAAATTTTTACTACAAATGCGTAATACAGTAAAACCCCTCTTTTACACTTTTCAGGGGATCGATGAAAAAAAGTGTAAAATGCAAGAAAGTGTTAAATACAGGAATGTTGAAAAACGATAGCCTAGGCGAGTACTTTCTTTATTTACTGCAATGGTTACTCTGCTTTCACTTTCTCGCCCTTTTAAAAAAAAAAGTATAAGCATGTGCAGGAATCAGCAATTTTTTTTTCAGCAAATCTCCTACACGTGGTGTAGCCTGAATCCCTGTTTTATGGGTCCTTGAAACAGCAAAATCAATTGACAGCGTTTTTTTTTTTCCTGATGAAAATGTCTGCTCATCTGTGGTCGAGCGTCTAAACCGCCTGCCAATATCTCCTAAATTGATATTCCTCGATTGATCTGAACAAACGCGAGACTTTTGCAATTTCGTTATATACATACGTAGTAATGTACTACATATTGAAACAGGATTTATCAACTTTTTGAGTATCAGTATGTGTTTTTCAAAGATATTAATTTTGGAAAAAGTATCAGACCTTTGGGCATGCTCTCGCTACATACTGTTACTTTAATAGGATAAAGAGAGGAAGACATGTGTATTTGTTCACCTGTAAGTTATTTGGACTGAAAAACTTTTCTTTTTCTTTGTAGGTTATCCTCCATTCTGCAGCGAGAACCCACAAGAGACATATCGAAAAGTGATGAATTGGCGTGAAACTCTAACGTTTCCTCCAGAGGTTCCGATATCTGAAGAAGCAAAAGAAATTATTGTTAGATTTTGCTGCGAGTCAGACCGACGCCTCGGTTCACAGCGGGGTATGGATGAGTTGAAATTGGCAACTTTTTTCCGCGGTGTAGATTGGGATCACATAAGAGAACGTCCAGCTGCAATACCTGTTGAAGTTAGATCAATTGATGATACTTCTAACTTTGATGATTTCCCTGATGTTAAATTAGAAATTCGTAAGTATTGAAAGCAAACTTTTATATTGTGTTGAACCAGTTGTATTTGTATGGCAAATTATTTCAATTTTTAATTTTTGCAGCTGCTGCACCTCTACCACAGGATGGTGAAGTCATCTACAAAGATTGGGTGTTCATAAACTATACTTTCAAGAGATTTGAAGGGCTAACTCAGAGAGGGACACCTACCAAAAAGTAGAATAATTAAAAGGTGCATTTTAATAAACTCTCCTTTGCTAAAGTGCTTGGTCATTTTCCTGTCTCGAAGTAACCAACTTTAACATACAGCAGCTGTATTGTATGTCTCATTACCAGTGGGTGAAATAAAAGATAGCTGCCCTAGAATTTTCACCCAGATTTCTGTAGATGTGGAAATGCAATGCCTTTCTTTTCGTCTTGGTAGATATTATTTTGTCTAAACTGTTCAGTTTATATAAGGACACAGTAAAATGAAAATTCAGTGTTCTGGGGTGGGTACTCATACCAAAGGGAGAATTTAACCTTTTGACCTCACCCGTAAGTCATATAGATCTGTAAATGGCAAGGTAAACTATTAATATATTGCATAGCACATTGCATACTTGCAGATTAAAATGCAGTAGGTATACCAGTGTATTCACTTGGAAATTTGTTGGTTCATTGTTACCAGGGCACAAGGATACAAAATTGAGGTAATTTTTTTGTTAGTTGTATTTCTTTTCTTTTCTTCTTTACAAAACGTGTACTTGACTTTAGTTGTGAGTTCACTTGTTTCTTGTTGCTAGTTGTATTTTCTTGAAAAGGTGAATTTTGTGGTTAAACAATTCGGTTGATGAGGTAATCAAAATTTGAAGAGACCAATGTCCATTAGTCAAAGTGCCCGCAAGATACTCAAGTGAGTTCTCCGTCGCTAGTGTTTTTGAAGGGTAAAATTTTAATGTTATGTATCCTTGAAACTGTGTGTAGTTTGATTGATGATCCTCGTGTCTCCCTTGACATGCTTTATCACCAATGGATTCATCCGATCTCAAATAGGCTAAAGAACAAATTAAATGATTTTATTTTGAATATGACAGTATTTTGCATATTTAGCAACTATATAAGAAATATTATTGCACTTCAAAAGTGCTTTTCTTTCTGTTTTCTTGTTCTTGTTAAAGGCTATTGGTTGCATGTTCGTTGTTTGTTGGTTTGGTTTGCTGTTGCTTGTAAAGGTTTTGCACTTTGCAATGTTATTGTAGATGTTATTTAGCTGCTGTATGTTGTGCTCTCTATATAACGAAGTATAACTGCAAACAATGAAGGCAACCAAGTGAATATTATGTCTTTATGCTCTTGTGTAATTGGAGGTACAAATTATTTTTCTAAGAGTTATATATCTGTTATTCATCACTTTTTTCTTTTTGTTATTTATTACAATTTTAAATTATGTATATATATTATAATATAATAATGTGAATTATTATATAATAATATATACAGATATATAAATCACATATGTTCTGTGTGGATGAGAGAGTGCTAGTTAAGTGTGAAAGAGCGAGTTAGTGTAGCAAGGCAGAATGGTTTAAAATATTTCTGTGCATTGACTGTTTTTCAGTAAAATGTTTTTATCATCACTGTTAAAAGACTTATTGACATTACTGGATTTATCCTTGAGTTAAAATGTTCTTATATTACTTTTTATTGCATACTTCGTTTTATGCGAAAAGAAAAGTTTCTGTACATACTTGTGTGTGATTTGTCAATAAATGTATTTGTACAGTGATAACTATTTTGATGGTAGTTCTTTTGCATTCGAGAATCTTTCCAATCCAAGTTTCTGTTATTGTCAGTTGCTTGAGTTTCAAAAACCGTAGGCATAATGTTTTCCGTATTTATTGTCTGCCCATTTCATATTGAAATGATATTCCAACTAAACCCTGTCATGTATTTATATGTAGTAATAGTACATTTTGTCAAAATATAAGTCACTGTTAAAACATTTCTTCATGAATTTGGTGCATTAAAATATAATTTTTAACAATAAAATATGTATTGTTATTTACTCACTGGAATTTTGTTCCAATTAAAAAATATGACTTTTCCAGAGTTCATGATCTACATCACCGTACAAGGAAGCCCACTGCCAAAACTAGAAGTCTTAAAAAACTGTACTATCTTTTTGCTTTCCTTTGCAAGCCTTAAAATCTCAAATGAGCTTGATGTATAAATTTTTAAGCATCCCTTCGGCCTGGAATTGCTGATCAGTTTTAAAGAAGTAACTTCTAATACTTTGACTGCTTGTTACATCACTTCACTTTTATTCCTGCTTTTATTTTTATATATTAAATTACTTGAACCAAGTTGAGAGCTTCAGTGCTTTTTTTGTATTTGGATTTCTCCAGTGCTTCTAAATGAGCATAGTTTCAAATGAAGAGATAAGAATGGTGCACCTCTGATTTAGAGATCTACCAGTTGCAATTTGGTTACATTCAGGCATTCTCAAATCCCATTGACAGAATTCCTATAATAAGTAAGAGTAATAACCTGGGCCTTCAGACTACATGTAAGCAACAAAAGTTATTAAACATCTTTTTAAGAAGTTGTTTAGCACAGGAAAACATATCCATGATGAAACTAATCATGTTATTGAAGAGGTGTTCAATGTGTGAGACTCACCATGACACAAAACATCAGCCTTTCAGAAAAACTGTGACATGTCAAGCATCGTATCAGAGGCAAGGCTTGTTCTTGGTGAGGAAGGAATGTGCAGGAGCGACACGGGTGCGTGTGATGTCCAAGGTAGCCTGAAGAGAAGTTTGTCACGCCCTTTTTTAATTTCTTATACACACAATTTCACATACACATATAGAGGAAATATTGTAATGCTGTGGAAAAATCAGGGTTTGAATTGAACACTAAATAAAGTTTGTGATGTTACATATTCAGAATTCTTTCAAATTCAGTCAGCCTCTATGCAGCTCATTGCGTTCATTATGCAAATGTACATTATCTGCCTGAGATATGGCATAATATTCTGGAGATGCTCATCCTTTAGTTTCCAGATTGCGGGGGGAATTGTATCATCGTGTTATACAAATGTCATCCACATGATTCCTGTAGTCTCTCTTCACTCAGCTTGGAATCGTACTTTAGCCTTGTGTAATTATTTATAAATCTGTACATTTTGTCAAAACTGACTTGCCTAATGGTCGGAACATATTTTCAACATCTTTTCATTGTATTTATAATTACAACACATGTTGTAGACACCACATTCATCAGGTGTCATTGTCAACTGCTCACTGCAAGAAATCCACATTTACTAACTGTATGTTACTTTATACTATTTCCAGGTGATCGGAAACAATTAAAACTGATAAAGTTTAAGTACGAAGTAATAGTTATTTATGCACTAAGGGTGTTATAAGGGTTGTAATGCATGACGGATTTTTGTCCCCCAAGACCGTTAGAACCAGTTAACGCCTGTGGTACATAAGTTTATTGATTCTTTTTTTTTACTAATTAACCATCTGAAAATTGCAAATTTGAATTTTCTGTGCTTCTCTTACTTTATTCTGTTAGTTTTTCACAAGATATCTACCCGCAATAAGGCAAGACAAATTGAAATTCTCAGATGTAAACTCATGGAAATCCATGTTTTCAATTTTTATTGGGTCATCTGCTCTGTTGTATTCTCTTTTAAATGCCTCAACCTCTTTCTTGGTTTTGAAGAAAATATTTTTTTTGGAAACGTATGTCAACTGTCAAACCCTTAGTGAGTGAACTTCAGATGCACTTCCTGAAATTTTCAGCATATTTGTGCATGTCAAACATCATAAACAAGTAAACAATAATATAATTATTTTTGCAGCATGTAACCCATGATTTGCTCCAGTGAATGAAGTAGAATATTAATCTGTTACTAAAAGTTGCAGTCTTTTGTACTGTGTTCAGAATAAATTTATAAATAATTATTTTTCTCAAATAATGAATTCCTGACCTAGTTTTCACAGTACCTTACCATTCTACTCATTGTTCATTCACTAGAATATTCAATTGTGATTAATTAAAAAAAAAGAATGATCAAAATATATAAATTTGATTTAGATTAGATGTTTGAAGTAAAAATCTGTATTTTTTCTATTGTTTATAAACAAATAAAACTTTTTTTCAAAATTATTTGACCTCCAAAAGCATAAAGAAATAAATGTGCAATAAAAAACAATATAGATTATTTTCTCAGGTAGACAGCTACCTTAAAACGGATTTTTAAATGAGTTTCTGTTTAACTTTTCGAAAATATGAGGAGTTTCCATGTAATTCTACCTGTATTAAAGGTATTTTTTTCAAAAACAGCACCAATTTTTTTCTTAAATTTTTTCAATTTTATGAAAAAAAATTGCCTTTTGGGCAAAATTACACGGAAACGAGTCATATTTTTGAAAAGTTGAACATGAAGTTATTTAAATACCAAATTTAAGGATCAGATTTCATTAAGGAAAAAATATCTAGCTTCAATATTATAATTGTAAGAAGACGCCCCAAAAACACAGCGCATTTTCAATTTTGAAAAAATCTATGACATTTCAGAGAGTGAGAACAAACTTTCAGTAAAACCTGTAATTCAACTGAAGTGCCTAGGGAAGTTGTCCTCCAAAAGGCACCTACAACTGAGTTGTCTATCAGCTGCCACACGAACAGATGTCGTAACAATGAAATTTTGCGGTAGGTTGCAAACTGCCACTTTCAGCTCAGATGAAATTTTTAAAGATAATTTCTGTTTCCTTTAAGATATTGTTAAGAAAATGTAATAGCTTCTATAACATTCTGAATGCAATAAATTTGCAGAGTTTCATCAATTTAAAAAAGTTTTTAGCATAATTACATTTTTAAAAGTTTTTATTGTTGTATGGCAAGAATAGCATGATCCAAAATTTATATTTAATGAACAATTTTACTACGTATCTCATATATACTCGCAAACTTTTAGAAACGTTTATAAGAGGGCAAGAAATTTAAAGAACATAGGGATGTTTACATGTTTACACTTTCGATTTTAAGAGTGCATTGTTGCTGAACGGTTAGAAAATTTGAATATCGTATCTCGACAATGTAGGCATCAGAGACATCAATATCCCAAAATATTTTCAAGTTTGAAGGTGGTGTAATAAAATCTACTTTTGCATGGATTGACCTGTTAGCTTTAAAAGAATTAGTTTTCGTGCCCAATACACATGGAATGGTAATGTGTTTTAATACTGATGGCTGAGATGCGTTATAATGGATAGAAATTGTGATATTAAAATATTGCATGATCGTTCTAATGCGAGAAAATGCATGTTTTTGTAACACCACTAGTTTTGTTTTTATATTTTCGAAAACGTCTTCTGCCCGCCGGGCCGTCGATCTGTTAGCACTGGAGCTACTAAAATGTGAAATAAAAATAAAACTACTGGATTTACTTGAACGCGCATGAGACGTCAGGTGTTTTTGGGGGGGCGGGGGGGGGAGCTTAGCCGAAGGTGTTTGTTTTTGTTGTTTTTCGCACGCATTTCACGTTTTACTGCTATGCGTAAGTGGCTGGTGTGGGTTCGCGTCGGACTTTAGTCAAGAACCAAATCGGCTTTTGTTTGCGACTACGCCCTCAGAATACCTGAGGGGAGTGCTTGTCTTCTTTGTCCTACAGTGACCTAATAGTTTTAATGTTGCCTTCGTTAAACGAAAGCCTATTCAAGTATTGAGTGAAGGACTCGATATCATGTTCCTTCCTCAGTATTTTCAGCAGTTTCCGAAACTGAGGGCGTGCTACGAGCCGTAGAACTTTGTTCTGTACTAACTCAAGTGTATCCTTGTAGTTCTGTGCTGTAGTCCACCCCGTTGCAGCAGGGTAGGTGGCCACAGGCCGGCAACTCGTTTTATTGAGTGCCAAGCGAAGTTCTATGGGGAATGATTGACATGAACATGCAAGAATTCCAGAGCCATGAGGATCAGGGGCGTATAGGCAACTATTCCGTCAATACACATTAGCGTTCCCCGGGTTGCCTACACATCGCCCCTTCGTAATTGTCTTTACACACTAATCTACGCAGCCTCCGGTCATGTGAGAAGTTGCGGTGTATACACAGGAATACGCGGAAAATCTCAAATCAATGGTTTCCATTTTGACTGAATATGTAAGTATTTGATTGTGTTATTCCACCTATTTTCTTGTCGCGCGTACAGACTGAGGCTTCATACTCTGTGCAACAGAGCTTACGACGCCACCTCACGTATGCGGAAGATGCCGCCCGCCCCACATGATTCGTTTTCCAAGAATTTTTTGGGTACACAAACAGTAGTTCAAAAATATTTAACGGGTAAGCGTTCTAAATTGTTTAAAACGGAAAATGCGGGACATCCTGATATACATATTTTAGCGTTAGAATTAATTTGAATTGGGTAATTATCCCTACATAGTAATTTAGTAAAACTGGGTGTGCGGAAACGTCACTCGCGGCTAATCCACTTCCCGTGCACCAATCGAAACGTATGATGTGTCATTCGTCACGCCTTAGTCTCCTGATGGAGAACTGATAATTTGTTTTCGGATCCGGCTAGAAGATTCAAATAATTTTCAAAAAAGCTGATTTGGCGCTACAATATTGGTGACAATATCAGGAGAGTTGTAGACAAAATCTGATAGCCGGATATGTTCGCTACCGTGTAATAGAAAATAGTATTTTGTATCGTAAAACAAACTACAAATTTGATACAAAATTCCCTTTGTCAAAATAACCAAAACTCCTCACTCTTCTCGCAACTAACGAAGCGAGGGCTCAAGAAAACGTGGGCGGATAATACCTAAAAGCATTTTTAACTCAAGACTACAATTTTCTTTCACGACGTTGGCAACTCTGATGTTAACATCTTTAAGTGAAGCGCTGCCGTTTGATTTCAATTTAAATTCGAATTATCGAATTTCGAAAACCAACGGACACTTAACTCGGAACTTCTTAAACTTGCAAGTGAATACAGAGAAAACAAAACACTGTGAGTAATGCTAGAGAATGAAAGAGCGTTCTTCTGTTCGACTTCGCACTTTTCGGTTCTTACGTAAGTGTGCAAATACCGATTTTCAAATGAATGTGGCCCACTTATTCTTATTATACTTAACTAACACCTTATTCACATAAACATACAAAACAGTCACCTTTTAATGTTAGATTCGCATACAAATCGATTAATATAGCAATTGCAGAAGTAGAAGTGAACACAAATGGGACTGAGTTTGTGAAGTTTTAATCTCTTCAAAAATTAAGGGAGAAAAATATGGAAGTGTTAAGGAAATCCAGGAAAAAATCAAATGTTGCGTCAGAAGATGCTGCGACAGAATTTTCGGAACTAATTGGGAAGATAACATTTTAATATTTGTAATAATGCAACTGCGTGAAAACGTAGATGTACTAAACTTTACCTATCATCATCATCATCATCAAAACCTTCAAGTATTTGTTAAGGCGATTATAATTTTGAAATTGCAATAAGACCAGATCATATCCCGTATGGAGGTCTCGTACAAGGCCACTGGGTGTTGGGAACTTTTGAACGTATGACATTATCATCTACTACGATTCTTTGGTAAGTCTAATGTCAGATGCTGGATATTTGACAAAGCTGGTCGTGAAAGAAATGAAGTACGGAGAAACTTTCAACGCATTTATTTTTAAAACTTTTCACAGCGTCGGCGACGCCACATTTTCCTAGTATTTAGTTCTGTAATGGTACAAGCAACTCCCTAGAATAAATCATACTGTATTTACGTTCTCATAATTCCTTGTGTTGCATTTGTTTATCAAAACTAAATCAATCTAATCTTACGAAGGGAGGACGTTTCTGAATGTAGTGCATGTCTTTTATTGCGGGAGGTGATGGTGATAATGCCCCGCAGGCTGGCGAGATCCCATGCCAACCCACGGCGGCGTACAGGGATTTTTCCGAGTTATCTCCTACTAGCGTGGCACTGCCCCAGTGGGACAAGCTCCCGACGTATGTGGTAGAGCAATGCACGTTTGTGGAAATGTGTGGAAGTAAAGACTGAGAAAAGGAAGAGAAAGGAAAGATCGCGTGCGGTCCGTGACCCGTTTATTAGGGTACTGCTCCGGCATTTACCTCGTGATCGGAGAAACCACGGTTAACTACCGTTCAGAGCAACCGGCCGCTACAATTCGTCACCACACAGCGGTTGAATTCGACCTAGCTGACAAGCTAGTGTCGAAAATCCCTCTCTATCGAGACTCGAATCCTACCACCTCCCGGTCTCACTACACGACATCAGTTGATGCTCTGAGCCACTGTCAGTCTATAGAACTTGAAGGTCAGTTAAATAAATGAAAATCTTTAACGGTGTCATTTTCTCGGTATCCTTGGAAACAATGGTATTGGAAACAATCACCGTTTCACACGCCCCAGACTATTACAGAAAAGTGCAAATCAATGTATTTGGATAAATTTGTGAAATCATCGTCATCAACTTGATTTAAACATCAAATTGGAATATTATTTCCCTGTCTTTGCAAGGAACAATAATCTAAAGAGATTCTAATAACAAAATGCTCTTATTAAATATAAAATGGTATTTTTTCTTTGCCATTTTGGTAAATTTCAATAATCTGTGAAACAAATTTCATTAACTTGATACGACTGCCAAAGGGAATATGAAAATCATTATACTAACAAAACGGTAAAATAATGAAAAAGGAATTTAGACTTTGGCTTTAGTTGTTAAAATGACAAAATGGCACACAATTATTTCAAAAAAAGAAACTCTCAGGTATTGCATATAAAACAGTCAACAAGAAATTTGAGGAAATTATTTAGGTATTTTTTTGACAAGGAATCCAATAAAAATAGTACTTTTGTTTCTAAATAACACATTTGACTTGAAATTCTAAAACAAAACTTGTAAAAAATATTTTAAAAGATTTTCAATGAAAATAGTCCCTTATGTTGGTCTTAAGTATCAAAAATATCATAAAAAAGTAGTGTACATCAAAAATTGTCTAAAGAATACAGTTCATTATGTAACATCTCAAAAATCTAAATAGTGCCTAGATACAGCATCAATAATGAGAAAAGGGTGAAAAACACATTTTTCAACATAACGTCACTATAGTAACATAAAAAAATTGTTTTCCTAGGTTATTTTGATAGTGATATAAGATAACATCACCCTCTTCTAGTTTGTTTGTGGGCCAATTTCACCTATCTTATTCCGCAATACCCTTTGTTGAAGATCTAGTGAATATCTTCCCTTGAGATACCCACATTACCTTGTAAGTGGCATTATTAGCACAACACATGACAAAAACATTTTCTGGGGTATTCTGCTCCCTCTTGTCACCACTTAGGCTCAGTGAAAGATGTGATAGGTAGAAACACCTTTATTGGTATAGTCGTGAAAACAATGAGGACCAGAGACAGTAAAAATAAAAATAAATAAAAGGGCAGAAGAGGGGTTATACTACAGTATTCTCATTAAATATTATTATTATTATTTTTATGATGATAGTGAATAACATAAAATTGAAGTTGCACTTTACACACTTGAGGTTTTAAAGTGCTCATTGTGAAGTTTGTACGGTCTCTACAACTTTAAAATTGAGGCTGACTTAATAAATTAACATGAAAAATAACTTTCAGCAGTATCTTGTAATTTGAAGATGTTAAGATTCTGAGACAGTTTTTTGCATCAGAATAGTGTCTCATGACAGGTTCCTACCATAGATTTTCACAGCAACAATTCACTTAATTTATACATGATGAAAATGTAGTTTTCAAACCAAAGGAATTTGATAGATGATATGAATGAACATTGCAAGAATATTTCAGTTGTGTTCATTGTATTGTCTTTTATGACATAATTAAAATGATTTTAAATATACTGAAATATTTAAGTTTTGACTATAGGTTCAGTAAAATTTATTAGAAAAATTAATGAGATATTACACGTAGATGTGCCATCTTTCACGAAGACCAGGCACAAGGTTCTAACGCACGGCTGCTGGCCTCTGGCAGAATATATTAGGAACCTGTCTCTAAACAGACAAAGAATAATAATCATGATGTATCAACCAACATATTATTTAAATTATTTGTTTTCTGCATTTGTGTTGTATTAATCTTTGCTAAACTTAGCAAAGGACACTGCATCAAATCCTGAAGAAGAGCCTGTAAATAATTTGTATCAACTCATACACTCCTTTTTGTGGAATCGATGTTGATTACATGTCGTTGAATTCATTATTATAGATGTAGGACAGTTCTTGACTCGTTCCTTTTCATTTAAGTTCAGAACATCACAATAAAAATGCTCATTCACAACCTCTAATATAGGAATGATTAGGAAAGGTGAAAGAAAATTACTTAAAATATATATAAAGAAATCATTTTTTTATTACAAAAGAAAAATGAATAGAACATATAAATTGCGAATGATCTTATGAACAACTTTCGAAATAAATGTATGAAACTGCCCCTTGCAGTCATGTATAACAAAAACAAAAATTAATTGCAAAATAACATTCATCTGTATCAGAAACAGAATTCTTATACTGTTCACCGACGAACTTTCAATCCCCAAATACTTGTGCGTCTAACACCTACGGTAGGTCTAGCAATACTTGAAAATAGAAATTTGTTGACAGAGATATTTGACAAATTTTGTTTCAGATGTACTAAAGATTGGTCAGCAAACAAACCCATGACATCCAAATAAAGAAGAGAATCAATTCTTGAAAGCAATCTGAAAAAATAATAAGAATTAAAAATACAATAATACTTTTTTTAAAAGGGGAGGTTGAGGGTGAGGATTGATGATGAAACCAATATTATTAGAATGAGTTGTAACAGTCTGAAAAACATTTAAGACTCCTGCACTGCTTTACAAAAAAGAATTATGCTACTTTTTCAAATGGAACATACACAGGGGTATGGCATCATATTGCAAAAGTTATACAAGAACTCTGCTAGAACAGCTAAAATGTTTTCAGAATGAATATAAAATATTTAAAAAATTAAAACCAACTTTGAAATATAAAAATGCAACCCAAATTCAAAAATAATTTCAAACATATACTTTATCTCAAGATTCAGCTGTCTTTTCACATGTTTTGTTAAAACGGCTTGTATAATCAAAGGACTAAAAGTAGTTTAGAAACCATTTTATGAAATAGAGTTTTTATTTCAAGACTGGTTTCAAGTTTTATATATGCATATATACATATGCATATGCATCAACATATACACATGCAAATACATATACAAATAGATACATATGAGTCCTTGTATAACTTTTGCAATATGATGCCTGTCTCTCCCAAGATATATATATGTATTTTTAAATTTAATTTCAACTTGTAGAGTGGCTACAATGGAGAACGAAAGAATACTGTCCCCTTCTTACAGCATATCTCTTTACCTACCAAAAAGTAAGGTCATGTAGTCTATCTTAGGAAATTTTTGAAAATTCAAAATTTATAATGAAAACAGCTCTAGTTCCATTTCATTCAGTCCACTTGATTCTATGCAAAAATTGAAACAAAGGAAAACCAATTTTGTGAAAACCTTGTTAAGAGGTAAAGCAAAATCTATTATTATTGTAAATATATCAGCATTTAATGTAAATATGATTTTTACCACTCTATGCACTCTATTCAATATGTTAGTAAATCTTGTGTAATGTTCAATTACAATGTGACAATACTGCATTTTAGTTATAAGAATAAAGCACAGTACACAAAATTCAATTGCAGAAATGAGATTTTTATTAAAAAATTTTGAATTTTCTATATTGGAGATACGATTAAAATACACATCTCTTATGCTTTGTTTGGTGAAGAGCACAATATTGTATAATGTAGTTGCTGTGGACTATGAGAAGTTATGTCTCGTTGTAGCACTAGTAATGTTCTCATTGCATATGCAAATCTGGAAACATTTCCAACCTGTTTTATTAAACTTTATAGCTAAGAACATAAGTAAAACAAGGAGGCACTTACAAGTAAGATGAGGAACCTATATTGTAGCAACGACTCAAAGCAACATGCTCAAGTTTTTGGAGATTGCATATATATTCTATACATGATGCAGTTAAACTAGTACAATCACTAAGGTCCAATTCCACAAGGTGGGGGCACGTTTGTACCAGCTGGCAAATGTCTGAAACAAATAATAGGACTATAAGACCCATTTCTTTTTTCTCAAAGTAATTATATTTAACTCTCAAAGCCTTCTAAGAATGCCTTAAGAGGGTTGGAACTTTTCCTGGAAGAAAATTTCTCTAACTTTTCCTGTTTTACAAGCACAGATTTATTTTTTCCCACCTAAGATTTGAAATGTATTTTACACTATTTAAAGAAAGTATTAAATAAATGTGAAGCTTGAATTCCTTTAACTAGCTCTCTGGCTACACTTTATAAAATACCATAATTAATGTACATTTTTATTTATTTACTGGGATTTTCACACCAGAAGATTCTTTCAGTGCCTAGGGGGACACGCAGCTCACTGCTTTCCAGATGCGACACCTGTGTTTTACTGAATCAATGGGTAAAAGGCGCATTGCTTGGTCCTACAGATGGCACTAAGGAGCAAATAGGAAAGGGAGGATTCCTCAGTCTTTGGATAATATTAGAAGGAGCTACTCCAGCATTCACCTGAAAATGATCAAAGAAACCACTAAACAAAGCAGATTAATACATTACTTCAATTCTGGCAGACACCACAATATCATTGATATCATACACAACAACTAAGTTTCCAGCACCTTGCCAGGACCAAATCTGTGATGGTATGATCAAATCAAAAGGCATTGCCTTTCGAATCATCACTACTAGTGAAGATAATTTGGTTTATTTGTCATTGAAAAATAATAAAATATGTATGAGACATGTGGAATACAATATTTGCAAGTTTTCTAATAAGATTTAATATTTGTTTCACAAATAACAATTGTACGCTACAATAACTTTCTTCTTAAGTTTTATGGAAAAATATCAAATTTTGTAATTGCCCAATAATTTTCCTCGATATCTACATAATCTGCAAATTCAATGATTTTTGTTCAACTTTTCCTGATATCCTAGAAAATGACTGCTCTGGTTGAAGATTTGCTGTTAATGTGCTACATAAGCATGCATAAGGAAATGTTAATATATAATCGTCACCTTGTTGGGCACACTTATGCTCGGAGAATATATTCTGCAGACGTAAAATAATACAAATTGTGACCATGTTACTGAGTAACACAGCATTTTAATACTTAAATTTGTTCAAAGAATTGGTTGCCCTGACCGGGATTCGAACCCGGGCTTTCTGGTATACATCCAGAAGCTCTAACCAACAGTTTTCATGAGATAAATTACTCACATGTTCTTACATTTAATTACTGTATCATATAAGCTTGTAACATTTGAAGAACTCATACTGACTTTCTGTTGGATCAACTCAAATTGTGTCAGGATTCATGTTGATAATGGATGAACAAACAAATCAATGTTGATAAACTTAGTGAATTTCTGTCTGTTTTCATGCAAGTTGTGTTGTTCACATTATTATTATTATTATTATTATTATTATGAGTTCTGGCTACTTTCATGTTCACATTTCTTTATTACATGGCTTATCCTCAGCCTCTAGTACATGGCTAAGTCATTATCCTCAGCCCTTCGAATTTTTTTAAGAATCATTACAATAAGTTACAGCAAGATTTAATTTATATCTTCACTAAAATACAGAAAAAAATAATAGGTATTTTTTCCTCTCTCTTTAAATTTATTACCACCGATTTCAAAATTTGACAGTAAATGTTAGGAATCATGAAATTTGCAGAATATTCTGTGAAGGTTTTAAAGGTCTAGTTTTAATGCCCTATTCAATTTAAAAGTAACTCCGTAAAACTTTAAAAATAAAGTTACCAAGACAAAATAAAAGACACTGTTCTCTTGGACTACACACACATATGCCCTCAAGAAACTTACGTTTGTCAGAAAGATACTTTCCACAACCACTAATATTTAGTCTTCCTAATGTTCGAGGTGCAAATCGAGCTAAAGTTTCTAAAGCAGATGAGTTCAGACATGTCCAAGCTAAATTCAGTTCTGTAAGCCTGAAAGGAATTTTAAAAATTACAAAAATCAAAAACATAATACAACATTTAATTATGCTCACATTTACATACTTTTGACATCCAGACAAAATTTTTCTGAGGCCTATTTCTTTTAAGCCACAACACATAGACATATTCAGTACTTCTAATTTAGAATTAATTGAAATAGCACAGCAACTCTCTTGAATTATTGAACAACGTTCCAAACTTAACTTAAGGAGACTTTGACAAGTCTTCAGTAATTCTGCAAGATCTACAAAAGAAAACAAAAACAAACTTCTAAGTGCACACACACATTATTATCCAATAACAATTCAATAAATCTGATATCTACCAATTTTATAAATCATCCTTGCAATACTTTCAGCTTGAACAAATATCATCAAAACTATTGCTTTTGGATTACATTGCTAGGAACATTATGTTTGGTGGTTTTTACTGCTCCTTTGAAATAAAATTCTATATTTTCTATCTAAATGTTTGTATGCAAAGTGATGCAAGATTAAAAATGGAAAATATGTACACAATCTTTCCTCTCACCTTTCCCTGAGATAACAGTCATACTTAAATCTAAATACTGCAATTTATTGAAGGCTCCATTCTCAACAATAGAACATGGAGATGAGAATATTGGTTCATGTATCTGTAAAAAAAGAACATAAATGCAGATGTATTGAAGATGTTTTCTACTATCAACGGCAAATGATCGATTTTAAAGTAACTTACATCTGCCTGAGCCAACCTTAATGCAGAAACACCTCTTGCCAAAACATAGCTCAGGCTCCCAGACTTCAAAACTCCTGAACCAAGATCTAATCTTGTCCAAAGACTTTCGTCATATGCTATCTGCCTCCATCGCTTACACACAAATGCACATCGAACTAAGGAGCGCTTGGGTAACCAACGGAAGATAATCAACATTAATTCATCAGACAATTTCCTTGACAAATCTGAAAAAATGTCTACATTAAACAAGGCCTAGACTTATACTCTTATAATTTGTAGCAATATGCAGTTTCAATATTAACCTTCTCCTGTATGATGCAATTTTCTTCTAATTAAGAAGCAATCATCATCTGTAGGTATTTTTTTAACTGCTACGGAACCAATTGAGGTTGCATTTTGCTGTAAATTACCACACATTCACATAACAAAATAAGAGAAAATACACATAACATGGTATTCTTAATTACAAATATTCATTGTAATACCTGGTGATTCTCAACTTTAGATTTTTCACTTCCAACTGAATCCATTACTCCTCTCTCCATACAATGCTCTTTTGGCACAGACTGTTTTATCTGTGTATCCAGGCGAGTTTCACAATGATCATTTGAGAGTTTCTGACGCTTTATTTTCCTGTTTCTGTAATTACAGAATGCTATTAATCTCACTTGACACATACTCAACCATCACTTATAAAACAAATTAATTTATTGGTATCAAAATCACAAATCACAAGATGAATTCGACACTAATAAAAATCAATTAACACGGAACCCACAGGGGCAGGAACTGTACATCTAAAATAAGATGCATATCTACAATATTGCACGTAAGCAAATGAAACACACAAATTGCGCGCATTTTTAAAGAATCGAGAAACTAAGTACCTCGCGAGGATAATTCTATATTAAGTTTATTAAACGATTAATAATGAAAGCACTATAGTAATGCACTAACCCACTTCCTTCTTCTCGTATTTCATTCATTACAACTAAATCTTTAGGATAAGTAACATCCACCTTTCTTAACCCTTGTTTCATTTCGGGCGGAATATCGTTTAGAAACACGCAACGACTGTATATCGATGAAAACATCGACTTTCGACTTTCACCGTGTTTCACGAAGTTACGGAACATCGTTCATTTTTAATAATAGTTTTCTTTTGCTGTAGAAGTACGAAGGAGAATAAAATAAGTTTAGATTAATTAGTACTAGAAATAACTTATAATTTTAGTTGAAGCTTTGATTAACTTTATTTGAAATTTATTCATTGAGGTTCTACAACTACCTAAAAAAATATTCATCCGTACATTTCTGAGAACGGTTCTCGAAAACAGTCGTGAACGATATCACCTTTCGATGCGGGAACCTTGAATTGTTCCGTGAATTGAACCGTCTATTGTTGATATTCGCGATTTTATGATTTTCGCTCACAATATTTTATGCTGGAATGATTGAATCAAATAAAACAGGTAAATTTAACCTTTGGAGTAATCAGAACAATTAATGAATGAGCGTGTACACCTAAAAAAACGAATTTAATATGTCATTGTATAAAATATTTATGTTGCTAAGCTGATGATTTTTAGTAGCCAATCATGGACCTAAACCAGAAAAACACATTAAACTTGTGGAATTAAAGTAGCACCCGATATATCAAAATCTTAATTTTTTGGAGATGCTTTTCAAAGTTTACTGTTTCGACGAAGGTAAGATTTTATATACAACTACAACCCCACGAATATGACGACAAAATCAAGCTCTCGCATTATTAATTAATAAAACGCACAACATTTAAGGAAATAAAGAAATGCGTTAAAATGATAAAAAGAGATGGGTTGAAGTCAAAGCAGATTAAGCTGAAAATGCAGATTACCAAAAAACTATTTGTGAAATTTTTAGTTTACCACAAAAAGTCAGCGAAATGTTTACCTGTAAATGATAAAATTAGGAAAATCATTACAATTGAAGAGGAAAAAATGAAGCGGTGCACTAAAAAATTAAACTAATAATGAACAGGAAATCCAAGATAAAGCCCAAAGAGAGAGAGAATTTTTTTTATTATTTAAGGTACTAACACTACTTGTATTTGCTCTACACATTTACAACGGGGCCCAGATAACGTTTTGCGGGCGAGCACGCCCTCATTTCGTTACGCTACTGATGACGAAGCAAAGAAAGTGGGGCTGCTAATTAATTGTAGTAAAACGAAGTCTTTATGTCAAATGTCTAAGGCACCTTTCAAATTTACCGGGAAGAAGTAGATGTTCAAACGTTTCAATATCTGGGGAGTATAAACAAAACTTCACATTTTCAATTCAAATATAAAATCTGTGCTTTTGTACGGATCAGAAACTTGAAAAATAACGAAGAAAATAACTCATAAATTACAGGTATTCATACACCGATGTAAATGAAGAATCCTAAACATTTAGTGGTCACAAGTAATAGCAAATGAAGAACTGCAGAGGAAAGCTGATGAAGCATCAATGGCAATGCAAATAAAAATCAGAAAATGGAACTGGATTTAACATTCTGAAAGGAAACAATAAAATTCAATTGACAGAAGCACTATGTTGGAACCCACAATGGAGTATAAAGCCGAGGATGGCCGAGTTTGCAAAGGAAGTAGTGCCGTAGCAATCTCGGACCGAAGGATCGCAGGGTCGAGTCCCGCTTCGGGCATGGGTTGTATTGTGTTTGTCCTTTCACACCCCTATCATCATCATATCGTATCATCCACATAGATACCATTCCGTTACACGCAATAGTAGTCGCTAATGACCTAGTAGTTGATGCTACCTTAAATAACAATAAAAAGGGAGTAGAAGCCAAGGTCGGTCGTGAACATGGAGAAGGACGGTGGAAGGAGAGATCCGGGAGACTGGAATAACGTGGAAACAAATCATCCCTATAGAAGAAAACCGAGTAAGATGGAGATCCTTTGCCGAGGCCATATGCCCCGAAAGGAACAAAAGGAAGAAGACAACATTTGTTTCTGCACTCCAAAACGTAGTACGAAATCTTTGATTTTCATTTTAAGATTTCCTTTTCCCAACAAACTGCTCTAAGGAACTTCGTTCAAAGGAGTAAAATGAACACGAAGTACATGTACTATTGTATTTTTTGCCCCAAACCGCCACACAATAACAAAAGAGCCGCCAAATTCGAAATCAATTTAGAGAAACCTACCTGCTGTTGCTGTATTTTGCAAATTTCCCCACACAAAAACTCACTTCAACTACAGCACAGTAGGCCGTGAAAACTACTACCGGCTACTTTACTAATTGAACTGCGAGATGTCCTCGCAATAGTACCAGAAAATGATGTTTCTTTGCATGCCGGACAGTTTTTAATTTGTTATTGCTTATAAGGTCACTATTCGAAAAATATTTTTTTGCTAGCAAAAAAAGTTTTTATCTAGCTTCAGTTGCTCAAACTTAACGCTGGTACCATAAAATTGTGTTAGTAGATAACAGGTAAGTCTGTTAAAGTGTTTCACAACAAAGCAGCTTTTTACTTTCTGGTAAGACAGCAATATTTCACTAAATAACGAAAATATTAATAATGAAATAAAAAATGGACTTTGATATATCAAGTTCTGCCTTAGTAGTCCCAAAACATTATTTGAAAGACAATGAAAAGAAATCGCATTTTCCTTTACCCTAAAAGTTATGTAAAATTGATAATACTACATTCAATGGCTGATTTTTGTACTATCTGGACTTCAAAAGCCGTGTATGATACATTGGTTGTAATTTAAAAGTTAATTTTCACATTGTATTACAATGAAGATTGTATGAGTCGGTTAATGTTATGTGAAAAGTTACATCGGGTGATGTGAATAAAACGCTGACTTTGGGGGAATTTTCACTTTAGCGATTTTTCGCGTGGATTTTGTTTGACGACTTAGTAATGTGTGGCTGTAGCAGATAAACAGGACTAAACGTCACAGTACGACAAAACCGAATGTTTTGAGAGTTGAACGAAAATCGTGCTCTTTGCTAGCGCACTTAACACTTTTCAAAAAAACAGTATTTTTAATAAAATTGTTTTTAAAATTGCCATTATTTCACTCAAAGTTATACGAAAATTACTCATTTTTTGAAAAACTTCAGCACTATCTCATTTAAAGATCTAATTTTGAAGAACAGATTTCATGAAGAAAAAAAGTCTTCAATATTGTAGCAACACGACAAAATTTAAACTTTTGCAATTTTTGAAAATTTATAGCAGACGAAAATTGAACATGTTACACTTTTATAAGCGTTCTTTCAAAGATGAGGATTCGAGCCATCTCCGACAGAATTTTTGAAAATTCCTTTGCGGATTCATGTTAAGAACCCCCCAAAATTAAAAAAATGTTATTCACATTAAAGAGGCCATGACATCAGCCACACCGATCGGAGAATATCACTTTTAGTGCAGTACATAATTTACGCTATTTAGATACTGCTAAAAATAATTTATTTCTTTCCCCGGTCACTCGAGTGACTGGCGAAACAGTCATAGGCAGGAGCTCTCTAGGTCTGTGGGCGAAATACTGAAAACGGGCAACCGCAAATTGCAGGGTGTAATACTCACATTGTGGTGGCACGAGCATCATTCAGTCAAGGCTTGAGGTGTGTGTTGATGCGGCTGCAGTGAGGCATGTGTCGCTGGAGGCGATCGTCGAACCGATCTGTTGGCAGTCAGGGCTACTCGGATTGGGCGGTGACGGGAGACTGACTCGGAAAAAGCTTGTGCTCCGTGAAATATGTCGTCCCGAAGCGAGCACCGAACAAAGCGACCTGGGACTCACTGAGGCGGGGTGCAGGGTCAAGGGTTGAGTGCGTTACGGGAGTCGGGGGGGGGGGGCGCGTCTGGCTAAAGGCCTGAGCTGCTGCGACCAGTGACAGGGTGCGTCATGGCAGCGATGAGTCTGATAAACGGTCCGTCACCGTCACCCCGCGCCACCCTTGGTTGCCACTCTTAAACACGTCGTTTCATCTACGAATGAAAGAAAATGAAGCATCTTGAGGTATATTTTTCGATCTATCGAAATCACATAATATTTTTCAACATAAAATCTTCTTTTAAAAATGATCCGGCGGGTATAATTCAAATGATATTTTTATGAAACTAATTTGCAAGTTTATAATTAAAATGGAATACACACATATCTGATTTCAAGCATAGAAAGTTACATGAAAAGGTGTCGATTTAAATTCTTGTTTCATTCTAAGATTAGGTTCGCCTGGTTTTCGTGGACCTGAAGAACGCGTATGATAGTGTTCCCCGAGTTAAGTCACAAAATGTGTTGACAATAGGGGGATTAGGTAAGCCACTTACGTAGCAATTGGCAAGCACGATCTGCACAGCCACACAAATTGAAAACATCACCTTGGCCGACTTCAAGACCACGAAGGGCTGTTGCTGGGTTGCTGTCTTTCATCAACGCTGCACGAAATGATGTTGTCCTCAGACAAAGAAAATAGGCATTCCAAATGCAGCAATTGTATCCTTTGTATCCAGTAACATTTAAAGGCCGCCTTGAAAGTAATCCATTTGGATCGATTGATATTATTCAAGACGCCGTGACGAGGGCCCTTCGCGAGGACCCCGTTGAAGCCTCACTGTAGTGTTGTTGATTCTTATTAAGAAAAAAAGAGAAATACTTCAGCTCGAAACAACTGTAAATTTAACAGCGCCATTACTTCTTTGGTTATGCATTGTGTGTGCGGTTCTGTACTGTTATGTACCTTTGTTGCAATTTGTTTCTTGCTACTGTAGTAATCTGATGCAAGAACGACCACATGACCACGTGCTGCCGTACTTACATAGTTAACTTTTAATTAAAAATAGATGAATGATTTTAAATTTAAAGTATTGTTATATTTAAAATTAATGTGCATCTCAGCGTCGCACTATGATCCTGCATGCATGACACCATTTTCCATATTAGGGCAATTCATTCCTTGGTTATTTTGATTTAATCATCTGTATTTAAACACTTCAAGAGGTACACACTGTCAAAAGAAAAAGTATTTTCCGTGGAATTCGCATGGTCATTCATAAGCTATTTCTTGTTTTGGAGGATCGGAAAACAGATTTTCGGTCCACAGAATTGTCAAAAATCACTGCAGTTACTTCAAAACCAATCTTTCAAGCACTACAATTATGGTTTTGATATAACGGTTTAGCAACTCACCTGTCAATGTTCTGACCGGAAATTTATGAACTATATCTTTATATGATGAAATCATACTAGTTACCAAGAACACACAAGCTGTTGATGAGTTTCATTCTTCATTAATTTGCAGTTCCTCCTTCATAGTCTAAATTTGACTTCAAGAATATTCCATCTATTAAGTGTACCATTTCTTTCGATAAACTGAATTTCATTCCTATGTACTACAACGCATACTCTGGATTTTTCTCCCCTAGGAGTGTTGAATTTTGTCGAAAGCAATTTCATTGTTGTGCACGGCAACTTCATGAAACCTGAACCCGTTACGTTTTTACAATTTGTTACAAGAACGTTGTACAAAAGTTACTCTGCTACAAATATATTCTGCTGGCACAAAATTAAAGCATATATATTATTATACCACAAAATGGATTAAAACACTGTTCTCAAGAATTTCTACACACGTCTTTCACAGTTCACACTGTTTCACACGCCGACCACACTTTTGCCCATATGTAATGTTGTGATTACAAGTAGTGACGTCAGAAGCAAGATGGCCGCCTGCCAAGAGGCCTGATGTTTTATGTGGCATTTACACGTATTACTCCCGCAACTTTTCTTTAACGATGACCTTGCTTCCCCCTCTTTAACACAACAAACAAATGAAGTCAAAAGCTCGCAGCGAACACTGATGACAATATTCTAAACACATCTTCACTAGCGCGAAACAATTTTCTTTTGTAGGCGAGAATTTCTATCCGTTATTTTCTCCAAAATATCTAAAGAAATGACCGATACAGGTAATGATCTATCACAGGAGATACCTCGAACTCCTGAGAAAGTTAGAACGCAAATTATTGATGTTGCAAAGGCATGACTGATTCTCCAGAGATTGGCATTGCTTCATAAAATCTAGTGGCTGATTTCGTAACTAATACCCCACTCTACCCGTATTTTTTTCAATTCACGTTTAAGAAAAGTTCCGCGAATTATAGTGTAGAGCGAATAAGTGTGTGTGTCGTCTCGTAAGTAAGGGTTGAGGATAGGACATAGTAGTAGAAGGAAATACCACGGTGTAAGATATACCATAGCCCGTTTGTTAGGACATTGTTGCAACATTCGTCTGGTGTTGATGGGAGAAATCATGGAAAACGTCCGATCAGAGCAGCAGGCGGCTAGAATTCTCCGCCAGAGAGCGACTGAATTCGACCTAGCTAAAGTCCGTTCGCGTAAACAAACGCACGTGGTCATTACTTGTTCTCATTGGCTGACCAACACCATATTCTCCTTCCGGGCGTCGTACGCTATAGGTCCCTTCCAAAACTGATTCCGGACTCTTTGCAAAAAGTACGTAGAAAAGGTAAAAAAAGTGCAGATATTTCTCGTAATATCTGCACATCGTAACATTAGGTTTATTTCTCCGCTAGAGTTGATAACAAGGGTTAAATACCTTTACTTCGCTCTGCCTCAGTTGCGTTTCAGCGTGTGACTGTCGTAAATGCTATTATTTTGTTCATAATTCTTGTGTCTTTATGTTATTCATGATTTTTTTGTTTCCTTGTATCAAATGCAGTAGTTAAAGGAAAGAATGTAGTTTATTTTGGAATTAAAATAACAAAATTATGTCAAACTGCTGTTACATTGCGTTTTCACTATTGTAAGGTAAATATAACATTAAGATAAGCAGTAATTGCAAATAATGGCAAAAATTTCAATGTTTGAGTGAGGCGAAAAGTCTTTAATAAATTGGGCAACGCTGTAAAGTCCTTGAGATTGGCATGACTGCTCAGGGCTCATGCTTCTTCAAAGTTTCATTGTTTTGAATCACTTGTTTCGTTGTCTGGTCGACACGCGGTAAAATCACAATCTGAGTGAATTGGCGGAAGGTTTATTTCCAAAGCGGAATTTGAGAGATAACGAAAAAATTCCCCCAAATATCACGAGAACAGTGAAATAATAAAACGTTTTCAAATATTTTTTCAATATTTGTTTCTCTCTAATTTTTATTTCTTGAATTACCTGAACCAATGGTATGACAAACCTTAGATTATTCGATTGCTTAACAACACAGTCAAAAGTTTGGTTCTCTCCAACATTGTATAAAGCTTTATATTTAACTTGACAAAAATCGTAATCATGGACTCCTACTGCCCCTTATTATCCTTCTTATCGCAATCTATTTTTTCTGTTATTCCCCTATTTTATTTTTGCTTAGTTAATTAAACTGCATGATCAATTTTTAATGTTTTAATAGTTTTGATTGAAATTATAGAACTATTTTTGCAATTACAATATGATGTATTATTTTCAGCGGTGCGGTTGTATAATTCATAGAAACTATAGCTTTTATATCATGTTATGTCATATCATGTTATAAATGTTATTGATTTAGATGCAAATTTTTGTGTAAAGTATATCAAGTTAAAGCTGATCAAATGAAAATACTGCATCAGATAATTTTGAGAGCTGTAATATTGAGACCTTTATTATAAAGTTGTACCATTGTTAGAGATAAAATCTTCAAAAGAGATTTCTACGTGGCAAAGTCTTTTGTAATCGTTTGTTTTGATGTTGCACTCAAAATGAAAAAAGGTTTAAATGTTTTGAAAATAAATTATGAGTACCATTCAAAATGTATTATTATTGTCCAGAAAATGCAAACAATTAGACAAACTATAGTGCTGAAGAGAAAAGGAGTTTCTATTAAAATATTAAAATTCCCAAAGGCTGAATATATCATTCCTCTTACAATGTCAATAAAATGTAATTATTAAATTTGCCCATGCGGATTTAAATACTATAGGCCTTCAAGCACAAAACTATACTGAGCACTCCTTCAGAAAAATCTTCAAAACTAATTATGAATGAATCTAAAAAACACTAATTATGATAGAATAAATCATTGTTCCAATACAGATGTAAATTAACAAATTGCTTTCAAAGTAGAAATTACTTTTTAAATTTATCATTTACAAATGCATGTTTTTTTAATTGTTCGATTCAATTTATTTTTAAAATCAAACATTGTTGTTCAGTAAACTATTTGATTAATGCTTATTCAAAAAAATATTAAGTTTTTAATATTTATTTTAAAAAACCGAGCACGAGGATATGTGTCCCAAGCCTAATTTTGCTAGGAGGAAACCCAGCTCTGCATTAACCTATACCTTGAATTAACACCATCAAAACAGTATTTTATCACTGCAACACATTTGAAACCATTACAAAGTCTATTTCTTTCTGAATTGAATGCTTTCTCAGTAGCAATACCGATTGAGGTGCTGATCTATGCTAAAGATTGTTGCTTTGAGTTCTGTGTAAGCATCTTTGGCGCAAAAGACAATGACAATTCACTGTGTATTTCCATAATAAAAAAGATAATATGAATAATTTTCGAATAATTGAATAAATAAGCATTGTTCAGGGGCAAGAAACTGACGTATGCCACAATACAAAATAATAATGTACTGAATGTTTAAAAAATTCTGTTAAGTCTAAAGATCACCCATTTCCTCAGGGAGTAGTATCAAAGTGAGTCATTGGGAATATTAATTGAATTAACATTTTCATTCATATCGCCCTTATCATTATATCTATCTAATTCCAGCTTTTCTGAATATCTGGTTACCATCAAATGCAATGTTCTCCATGAGTGAGGGTATTTTAATTGCTCCCAGAAGATCTAGAAGAATGTACGAACTCTTGCTATCTTGTCAATCGGTTTGAATGAAGCGCGTTGCGCGCGCGGTGTTGCCGAGATGTGCGTTACAGTCCCCAACTACTTGAAAGTGCGCGAACGGCTCACTTTGGACTGATTTAGGCTTATAAGTTTGCACAATTCTCCCATTTGAACGGTAGATTTCCTTCGAATTGCGCATGTTGATTCTTCGAGATGCTAGTTATCAAAAGAAAAGTTTTTAAAAGCATGTTCAACAGTTAATTTCCTCACAATTTTGAAATTTCAGGACATATCAGTATAAGAGCCCGTATTAAAATAGCAAACTTTACGGTCTCTTTAAGCAAAAACTGGATGGTAAAATCAATTCAAACTTTACCAGAACATAGAAGAACCTCTCATCTTTCGATTAATACAATAAAAAAGGCATGTTAAAAATAACACTTATCTCGCTCTAACCACCTTAAAATACCTTTTTTCGGGTAAATACACGACAATAATATATTTTTGCATTGCACCTTGATTTCAGCAAAAAATGTGTCTTCCCAAAATACAGAAATGAATTTTAGTATTTTCTTGCCCTACAGGTCGTGCACATTTGTCCTTTTCAATCATATTTAATGATGCAAAGACTTGTAGATTAAAAGAAAGGTTTTAGGAAACTAACACTAAGTAGCATTAAAATTATTTACAGAACACGTATGTAAGTAGTTCATTTATAAATATTTACGAATTTAAAACTTGTTATTTTGTTCTGAAAAAGTTTAAGATACAATTTGAATAGAAAACGAGGATCAAATATAAAAAACACGAAATATTTTTATTTTTTGACAAATTTGCAATTAATTATAAAAATAGCATGAGGTTTAAACAAACGATTAATATTCTTATTAGGATATGCATATTTTCCAAACTATACTGCAGAGCTGGAAGAGGATAAAGAACCTTGAGGTTAAAATGACATATTGCTGGAAGAATAAATATAACATTAGAATCTTTTCTCCTATCTACAATCTTGTGGAACGAATTCATGTACATTTATAATAATTTTTAATGGAGGTACCACAATAATGAGCTTTGTAAGCTTATGTAATTCAATAATTAAAAATTTAAAAACCACATCTTATCAGGCTTAATAAAATGTTTAAAAAATATCTTAAGTCTATGAAATCCATACAAATCTCAAATGAATTTGTTTTGTGTAATTTGGGTAAATGTTAAGTCTGATTACATGACCATTTTCTGTAGTTTAACATAGATAATCACAAAGTGCAATTATCTTAATATATTGCATTTTCCTTATAAGTAAATTGTGATGAATGCTGTGTATGATTCCCAACAACCTAGAATATACTATAGTATATTCTAGCTCTATATTCCATAATTCAATTGATAGAGATATCTGGATAACGGAAGGCCCTGGGATCGGATTCAAAAGGCATCCCATATCTGCACTTTGGGACAACCTATTTTTACAATGATTATTGGATGTATTATTAATTTTACAGTAATGACAAAAATGTTTCTAAACACAAAGTACATCCAACGTGCAGGTCATTTTATTCAACGGTCAGGCTAGCTGATATCAAATAATTTATACCAATTGTAAACACACATAAAAAATGATGTGTTTTGTGTTGTAACGTGAAAAGTTGGAGATAAAATAATAATTGCATTAACACAGATCCATGTTAACGTCGAGTTGTTTCAATAATGCACTGTATGAGCAATTCATACTTATGTAATGTCTGCAATACCAGATTATTCTTCTGTACCTGTGATGTATTGCTCTATAATTATGTAAAATTGTTTTCAGAATATATTTTATGAATACTATACACATTTTTTTAAAATAATTGCCAACCTATTCTTCCCAACCCAAATTATTTTGTTATTTTTAAATAGGTGCACAATTAGCTGAATTCATGATATTATGGAGGTTAATATTTACATTGGATGTCAAGATAGAAGATTGAGTACCGTGTCCCTGAGCCAGTTGCTTCAACGCTCAAGAAGTACTTATTCTGGCCACAGAGAACAGTGTTGTCGATTGTATCTTATTGTATTTATACGCGCACGTTTTCTTGAACCCTGCTTGAACCCCGGCATACTTCCCTCCACTCCTTACCTAACATTTGTTGAATTCAGAATAAATGATAGCCACAAGTTTTGTTGTTAAACTCGGATAACCAGAAATGTTTATTCCCTTCTAATTGAAATTATTCTGCATTGAAAAACGAGCTAAAGATTTCATTTAATTGTCCTGTCATTAAAGTAATCAACCCCCCCCCCTCGCATCTAACGAAATGAGGGCTCGAGAAAACGTGCGGGGATGGTGCCACACGAGTATTCTACAGTCCTTCAAGCTAATGTTTTTAATTGAAGTATAAGAAAGCTGTATTACAGTGGCACGTGAAGGGCTTGAGGGAAGGAAGGAAGCTGGAGGGAAGCTTTCTTTTAATCAAGAGTTTGATTATGACTTGAATTTTTGGTATTACTTGCGCAACTTTTCTTGAACGATGACCTTACTTCCCCTCTAACACAATGAACAATTGAAGACAACCTTGCGGCGTGCACTGATGACAACATTCCAAACACATCTTCACTGGCGCGAAATAGTAACTATTTTCCGTTGAAGACGAGAACTTCTGACCGTGATTTTCTCCAAAAAAATTAAATAAATGACCAAAGCAGGTGAAGATTCATCACAGGAAATACCTCGAACTCCTGAGAAAATGCATATTATTGAGAGAGTTGCGAAGGCATGACTGATTCTCCAGAGATTGGCATTGCTTCATAAAATCTAGTGGCTTATTTCGTAACTAATACCCCCACTCTACCCGCATTTCTTCAATCCATCGTTCAAGAAAAGTTGCGCGAATAATATCAAAGTTTCTGAACGGATGTCATTGTTCCGATTGTTCCCCTACCTTTCCAAGTTGTACCTTACAGTGTCACTGTGTTTAAATCGGAGTGTAGAAGGTTGTTCTGGAGAACTTGCGTTCACGACACTGCGATATCCTGTGATTTCCCACCTGTTTTGATCGTGGCAGATGTGGAAATGAAAGTAATGTTTGGCTGTGAAATTTAGTAGTGACCTACATTACGGTTGGATAGTCTCTTTATTTCATTGTACATGCGATTTGACGGACCAGTTTAAGGTAAGAAATATATGTCGTAATTGTGTTGTATTCCCAATTTAACTATTCCGGTTTCTTTGAACACAAATTTCTGGAACGTTGAAAACGTTTGTAATTCACCAGGGGGCTGTTAAATACATAATTTGGCCGAAAGTGCGAAAAAAGAGTGTTCGATCGCTATCTTGTTTCGGAAAAAATATTTATATTAATTTAATAATTATAATTTGGATATATGTGAAGGAATTTGAAATTTGAGATGAGCTGATGAATAATAATAATAATAATAATAATAATAATAATAATAATTATTATTATTATTATTATTATACTTTTTTAAATAAAATGATTAATTGGAATTGTGAGTTTACGTACAGTATTTATAAATGCATCAAGAAAACAATGTCATACATGCATTTGAACTTGTCTTCTTGATGTCTCCCAGGGCATATTCTTACTTTCTTGACATGGATGTCTTGAATAGTGTTTCAACATTGAGCGATGAAGAACCCGACAATGAGGATTGCATTCAACACTTGGTAGAAGGCCTGAACATAAGGTAAACATCAATATAATGCAAACTTATTTTTTCCTCTAAGGAAAAGTGTTTAATAACTACAAACCTGTTCTTTTTTCTCAAATGAGTTATTCAATTTTCACTGTAACTGAGTGAAATCACTATTAAATGATATTACTAAAAGAACATTTGATTTTTCTTAGGACTTTTGTGTGAACATTAAAGTGTATATGTTTGCTGCAGAGCAATATTCTACCATGATGACAAATGATAGTGCAGTGTGGTATTCATGACAAAGACCAAAACTGTAAGAATTGGAAGAATGAAACAAAATCTGGAAGATGGTCTCTCATCATATTTTAGATCACAATTTTCTGTCTAGATGATTCATCAGATCTTTACTTCCGACATTTGACTAAACTGCAATTAAGATTTTAAAATTTTCGTTAAAGTAGGGTACAGGGTACACCCTCAGAGAAGCATGGTGGCGGGATGGGTCTCCTTAACCTCTAATTACTGTAGGTGCTCTGATAAAAATGAATGAAACGTACAGAATGGCAATTTTCATGGTTCACCCTTCATATGCTTTGTCCCTGCTGCATTGTAATGTCAATTTACTTTCAAAGGCAAGTTTTCTCGCTTTCCTTGCCCAGACCGAAGTCATTGCGAGGCTTGGGCCTTCGGCCCTTACTATAAACATCTTTGAGTGTATCCACCCATAATTACCAATTCACTTTTATAAGACATCACTTTTCAAGAAAGCCTCCAGAATTCAAACTGCCTAGTTAACACTGGAGAGGCGCGAAGTGCTTGTTTAAACGACTTCCGTAAGTTGTACCATATACTAGACTTAAGTAAAAATTTTCTGTAATGATGCGCGAGTTAATACTCATGGTCACTCATTTTGACTATATGGTATAGAAAATTGCATTTCGCCATCTGATTTTTGTCAATATACGATATGTGGATTAATGTTATCTTGAGCTTACATTGCACTGCATGCAGCTAGAGTGGTGTTGGATCAGTATTATGAAATCAAGTCTGAAGTGTGCTTGTTGGTACAAAAAGGTTCTATTATGTGGGAGTGAAAATTTTGTGTTAATGTTGTAAACAGAGGTTGTTGGTATCTTTTATGTATGATTCAACCATGTTGGTAAAGCAGGTTGGTTCAGAGATCAACAAAATGTGTAACCTCTGTAGGAATATCATGACACGATCTGTAGGAAATGTGTGCAATATTATACTGTAATTTTTGCAACTCTGCCCCTGTCAGGTATCAGTCAGGTCACTATCACGTTCAAGCTCCCGATTGGATGAAACCATAAACAGCTGATACCTGCCAGGAACAGAATTACATAAATCGCAGTGTAGAATCAATGGTGGATCCTGTTGGTCATTTTGGGGGGCCAGGGGAAGGCATGAAAGATTTTTGTTATATAATAAACATATTTGTTATATTGTATATTATTTATGCATTATAGATCCGATACTATTCAATGTATAATAAATGTAATTCAGTGTTTCACCACAGTTTGTTTCTTGAAAACCATTCCAGTCAAGTTTTTTCTTGTCAGGACTAGAATTTTCCTCTTTTGATGGGAAATGCCAATGTTACATTTCTTTTTATTATTACTATTGTTGTTATTATTATTATTATTATTATTATTATTATTATTTTGAAATTTTTTAGGGATCTTTCAGAATCTGGAACTGAATTTGCTGTTCAAGTGAATGAAGATGCAGCCCTTGAACAGCAGACCTCCTATAAGGGGCCAAATCTTTTCCACCATTTGAATCTTAGTTGCTTGGGACCAGCAGAAGATGAAAACAATTCTGACCCAGCATATGACCCAACAACTGATTCTCCTTTCACTCACCTTGCCAAGTCCATGACTAATCTTACAGAAAATGGAAAAGTTAAAAAAAAGGTGAGGTTTGTTTATTTTTTCTCTCTCCTCTCTCCTCTCCTCTCTCCTCTCCTCTCTCCTCTCCTCTCTCCTCTCC